ATATGAGAGTTAGGCGGGGCCGGTGAAGACCTGGCCGACTATTGAACCACAACTGCTTTGTGGCTGGTAAGTGGCCTTGTTGGACCAGGGGCTCAGCCAGAGGAGTTCCCGGGCACTGCTGCGGTCACAGCGAGAATCTTGCTAACTCAGCAATTTGCTCAACTACCAAAGGGGAGGTGAGGGAATAAGCTTTCTGGAGCCCCCGGGTCTGCCTTTCCTGAACATCTGGCCTTTATGGCAGCATAACCTGGTGGCTAAAAGTGCAGACTGCAGCCCAACTACCTGGTTAATCTGAACCCCCATGTGCCTGAGTTTCTTCATCTGTAAAATGGAGATAATAACACACCTCCTTCGTCTGGGCTGCTAAAGGGATCAAGTGGACACGTCTAAAGTGCTTAGAATTGTGCCTGGTAAGTAGAAGGCTCTAAAATTTTAGTTCTTATTATTGCTAATAATTACATGATACTATTGAAATGATTTTAAAAAGTATAAACCCAGAAAACTTAAGAAAGCAGGAGGGGACCATCAGCACATGGAATATTTTAACAAATTTTTGGAAAGTGGAAATTCAAATGAAATAGTAGTCATTGATAAAGCAGGCCAAAGGGAAGCACAGCCTGAACGCACGTGGCCTGGGGGCGACTCAGCCCCATCGACCCCTGGGCAGCGGGAGTCAGGACTCCAGGCAAGAAGGGCAGGAGAGAAAAATCGAGGGACGAATTTAGTGTCTGTGCAGGGGACAGTCGGCTCCCTCTATCCCCCAATCAGATTATCAGATAGATGGGTGTTAACCTTGAGGCAAAAAATTAGAGGATTCTTCTCGTAAAAAAAAGATGGAATAAACGGTTTCAGCTCACTTAGAGGAGCTGGTGTGGGCAATGGCACCCCAAAACAAAGAACCCTCAAGAACTGGCCATCTTATGCTCGAGGAACATCCCAGTGAGCTGCCAGTGCTGGCTCTGTCTCCACAGGGCACTTGAAATCACCTTCTGAGCATTTCTCTGACAGTTCGGGCTTCTCCAAGGCACATCCTGGCTCCCTGATCTGTTCTCTGTGAAGTGAAGGGCTAAGGTTCAAGTCACACTCATGTGGCTTTTAATTACGTTTTTCAACCATAATTTTGACCAAACAGCTTTTACAATGCCTAATTCTTAAACATGAATTGAAAACCGAGGATCAGTATACATTTGAGGAAAGCTGGTAATGTGAAAAATAAACACCAAGGTAAATGGTAACAGCCTTGGAGGAAACAGATGACTCAGGAGACAGACGAACTTAAACACTGGCACTGGTCAAGTTAATTCCTACATAGGGACCCTCAAAATGGTGACCACCCCGGGAGCCCAGCCAGGTCACAATCTAAACCTAAGTCAGCCAGAATGTACAGGAAACACCTGTCAAGGTATCCTAACGATAAATAAATGGCAAGCAATAGGACATATTGGGGTATGTGAGGAAGCCATTTGGTGTAAAACTAATTTGGCCTGACCTTGTTTTTCCAGAAAGTCCTGCTGTGGCTGTTGAGCATGCATTGTACATCCACTTTAAGCATTTACTATGTCCCAAAGACAAGAACAATGCCCTAAAGATAAAGTAACTTCCCCACATCAGCATTTCCTTAAGGATAAGCATCTCTTCCCAGGCTAGGGATTGATTGCTGACCTGCTGTGACCACCACCTCGAGACCACCGACCTGCTACCTGCCGTATCCATTAACTGCTGTGTGAAATCCTGTGCCAGCAAAGCATCTTGTGACAATTGTAAAAGGGACATTCCTAACATATGTGAAGTATGCTCTTTTTTCCAAGACGGTATATAACCACGCTGTGCACCCCACTTCTTTGGTGCCCTTCCTTCCTTGAGGAAGGAAGGCCCCGGGCTAGTCCTCAGATCTGGCTCATAATAAACTCACCCCAATTTTGATTTATAGATTGGTTATGGATTATTGGCGTCGACACTAACGTACACCCATCACAATCCTCCGACTCCGTGTAGCTAGCTCCCCAACCCCAGAGAGCAGGACCTGCCAGCTCTATAAGGAAACCCCGACCTCCTGGCCGACCCCGCCCTGTACCTCTGCCCTTGCCTCAGTCCCTGAGGACAGGGCTCCACCACCGGGAGGCTCTGCAGCCCGTCCGGGGCTGTCTTCCCTTGATGAAGGACATCAAACTCAGTACTAAACTGTTTTAGTTTTGTCATCTGACAGATCATAGGAGAGATTCAGAAAGATTGTGTTGGCTAAAAAAAACTACTCATCATGAAAATAAGGGACAGTCAGAGAACAAGAGCGAGTTGTGGGAAATCGGAAGTATAATTGCTGAGGTGAAGAATTACCAGTGGAGAGACGGAAGATGGTGGAGAGGAATCTCCCAGAAAGTCCAGCAGCGCACTGAGAGAGAATGTGTGAGGGAAAGACGGGAACTCAGGGGATCCGTCACACGTCCATCTGAACAACGGGAACACCAGAAGAGGGATATGAGCAGAGCAGACGTAGGAAATTGTCAAAGAAGTTACGGAAGATAATTCCCAGGGCCGCAGGGAGACCCAGGGCTCAGACGGAAGAAGCCCTGTGTGCGCGCACGAGAGATGCAGGAAGACCCACACCTACACACAGTGCTGCGCAATTTTACAGCCGCAAGGATGAAAAAGAAAATCCTGCAAGATACCAGAAAGATAGAAACTGTCGGCATCAAAGAAGTAAGACTTAATCTAGCACCATAACCGTTAACCAACGTTAGCACGCCATCTGGAATAGTTACTTCCTGTCGTGGGCCTCGGTGGGTTTTGTTATTCCTTTTGGGTCCTGTTGACTCAGTACCCTAGAGCTTTGACTGGTGACTTCTCAGTAAACTGTGCAATCCATTTTGAGTTTTAGTTCCTCAAACATCTTCTCATTACTTCCCAGCAAAGACAAACGTAGCATTTGAACCGAAGCTGCACGTCCTCCTTCCATCTGACCGGGACTCCGGACAGACCTCCGGGTAAGTAAATCGCCGTCTCTGGCAAAGAAAGCTGCTTTTCTTGCACGCCCCCCACACCTGGCCTCACTTCTCTTGTTCCTGCTCGTCTCTTTGGAGGCGCTGGGCTCGCGCAGACTTGGGTTTGAACCTCAGCCCCTCAACAGCTGCCTCCTGGCACTCTTAGCCTGGTCGTCAAAGAACATGAACCTGGGGAGGGCCTGGGAGGTCTCTCCTCCGGAAATGGCCTCGGGGCCAGCAGAGCTGCCCGCCGAACTTCGCTGTGTAAGCACCGGGTTGATTCCCGCTGGTCTGCTGCAACCCCACGCTGGTTTATCTCCAGGGAGGCCGGGAGCCAGGGTGCTTCTGTCAGCCGAACCAGAACGAAATGCTGACTGGAGACTGAGGTAACTCTGTGCTGGGTCTGAGACGGACCAGGGGGCAGCCTGCACCCGCCTGTTTCTGCGTTGAGACAGGTCATGCAGCTGGTTTTGGCCATGTGACCAGAGGGGTACAAGAGACCCCTCCTCAGATGAGATCGTGGTTTCCTGGAGACCAAGGGCCCCCACACATACCTAGGCAGTTCGTTACCTAAATGCAGCACACCCTGTGCAACGGACAGAGGCCCTCAGAAACTGGGCCTGGAATCAGACCTCTCTGAGGCTTGCCTGGTTTTCATTTTGCGCCTTTTCCTTTGCTTTTATTCAAGTCTCATGTAAGTACCCCAAGTGGAGTCTTGTTAGTGTTTCCAATTATCCAGCCCTGTCTAAGAGCCGAAGATGACACTGAGGGGGTCACCGAAACAGTGTTTTACTCTCTCATTTAAGTGATGGCTAAGGCTTTGCTTGGGAGAAAGATTTAGAACCAAGGGTGCCAGGCTGGCTGCTGAGGCAGCCCTGGTTTGAATTAGCTCAAGGACTGTAGCTATTGATGAGAGGAGAAGCACAGCAATGGGATCTGAAGGTGGCAGCTCCAGTGCCAGAGGAAAGAGCTCTAACAGCTGTAAAAAATAGCTCTAAAAGCTGTTTAAATAGCTTTAAATGGGTTAAAATAGAAATTCAGGCAGAGGGGAAGTCAGCCAAGAGTACTTTGCCTTGGCTGGTTCGGACTGCTTTGGCAGAAATGAAAGTAACAGAGAGCCCTGGGCTCCGAGTCCACCAAGCTGCGCCCTGTGGAGTCAGAGCCAGCACTGGCAGCTCACTGGGATGTTCCTCGAGCATAAGATGGCCAGTTCTTGAGGGTTCTTTGTTTTGGGGTGCCATTGCCCACACCAGCTCCTCTAAGTGAGCTGAAACCGTTCCTGTAACAGGAAGGAACACGATGCCCAAGGGGAGCTGGGCAGGTATTTCTTTTGGTTGGAACGTGACCCTCATCCAATAGTCAACCACCAAGGAGACTCCACAGGGAGAGGGCATCAAGAGAACTGAAACAAAGGAGCTATTCGGTCAAAGAACTGAGTAACCTGGGGGACTGAGAGAGCCTCCCGGGGAACCGCTGCAGAATGGGATTCACGCATCAGCAACGGGGGCTCTTCCCTGCTTTAGGTGCTGCCAAGTGAGGGGCATGGTCTGAATCAAGGTCTTCAATTAGCTGCAACTTGCGAAGCATTGTGGGTAGATGGGCAAATTCCAAATCAGCTGTGCTGGATAAAGGTGGGGGCCCAGAAAACACGCCTGTAGAGGGGAGCTGTCCGACTCCACCCGCAGGTACTGGACGGGATGCTCCTTCGAGGAGCCTGAAGTGGCGAGGACACAAGCAGGCATCTTCAGACTCCATACACGACGATACTAAGGTTCCCCTCTTTTATGCCTTGACGTGAGTGAGCGCTGAGGCTGTGACTCCACGCTGACCCTGCTGTCAGGAGGGGAAGAGGCTGTCGCAGACCTACCAGCACAGTTGCTCCGAATTGGGCTGAATGAGGCACAGAAGACCAAGATTCCTCAGAAGAGGGGAAACAGTGAGAATAGAGGGGTTGGAAAGGTCTCAGGACTAGTGAGCCAGGTGGAAATGTTCCTCACCCTGCTTTCTTTCCCTTTTCAGAAAATGGCCACCCAGGAGGAGGCCCCCAACAAGAAGATCTCGCAGTTCGATTACACTTTGCTGCCAGAGCTCTCTGCTCTCCTGGGCATGGACGCAGTTCAATATGCAAAGGAGATAGAAGAAAAGGAGCAGGAAGACCGAGAAAAAATGCAGAAAGGCTTTAACTCACGAATGCGCAGTGAAGCAAAAAGGTTGAAGACGTTTGTGACCTACGAGTCCTACAGCTCGTGGACACCACAGGAGATGGCAGCGGCGGGGTTCTACTTCACCGGCGTAAAATCTGGGGTGCAGTGCTTCTGCTGTAGCTTAATCCTCTTTGGTGCCAGCCTCCAGAGACGCCCCATAGAAGACCACAAGAGGCTACATCCAGACTGTGAGTTCCTTTTGGGCAAAGATGTTGGTAACATCGCCAAGTATGACGTGAGAGTAAGGAATCCAGAGAAGACGCTGAGAGGAGACACAGCAAGGTACCGAGAGGAGAAGGCCAGACTTGAGTCCTTCCAGAGCTGGCCATTTTATGCCCAAGGGACAGCCCCAAGGGAGCTCTCAGCAGCTGGCTTTGTCTTCACAGGTACTTCATTTGAAAGGATTTTCTGAAGTATTTCTTTAGAGTTTTAAGTTTAGTATTTCAGTTGCAACGTTTCGTGAATCTTTCCTCACTTGTTCAATGTGTTATATTAGGTACAAGGTCTATTTTATTAAAATTCAACTGCATTAATCTTACTTTAGCTTTATTTTATGTTTAGTACAGTGTGTTAATTTGCCAAATATATATAAAATAAGAAAGTTACTTTTCCTTAAATTTGGGCCGTGCACAAATCATGAGGTCAACCTGACCCCAGTCTCCACCCCACCCACCCTCCTCTTGCTGCTCTTACGTGATATTTCTTCAGTTCTTTTAATTGCTGCAACATGGGAGGGGTTTTTGTTTGCTTGCTTGTTTTAATCTCAAGGCTAACTCTAATGTACAGGGCAAATCGCACCTTGTCTGGATTGTCATCCATGCCACAAACATTCCGACAGACGTGACCGAGGATTGTTGTCACAGCAGCTACCATTCCGAGTACCCGCTTGATGCTGGGCTCAGAATAAGCACTAATTCCAATCCCACAACCTTACCCCTCCCCCCATTTCACAGTTGAGTCATTGAGGCTCAAAGAGTTTAGGAAATGTGCCTGAGTTTCCACAGAAGTTTCACGGCAAACTACCAGTTTGGCTGGTAGTTTTGTCCCTGACCAGGTTTCCCTCACGGGAGCTGGGGTTTCTCTGCCTCCCTCAACTTGGGCCCTGAGAGCTCTAACAGCCAACACCAGCCCTCGGAGGGGCCAAAGACTGAGTTCAGCAGCTTTGGCTTCTGTCCAAGGAGTACGGCTGTGGGGGTGGGGAGTGCCAGGCTTAGAAAGTGGTCCTTTAGGGCAGCGGGTCTGTGGATGGGGATTCGGCCAGACAAGAGAGTGTGTGGATGGACACGGGAGCACATCTCATCTGTGCACAGAGCGGGCAGCTCCAGACAGAGCCTCCAGACCCGCCTCATGCGCTGCCGGGCATCTCAGTGTTCCCTTCGTGTGCAGGTGTACGGGACAGCGTGCAGTGCTTTTCCTGTGGTGGGTGTTTAGGAAACTGGGAAGAAGGAGACGATCCTTGGAAGGAACACGCCAAGTGGTTCCCCAAGTAAGTAGATAAATATTTTTTGCTTGTAATTGTCTTTTTTTGTTAAGGACAAAACTCAACTAAAGACAAAAGTCACCCTCCCAGAGTAGCACCTTTCCCCACCCCAAATTGGAATAGTCCAGAATTTATTCAAGTAAATGAGGGGGAGGAAGAGAAATCCTCTACCCTCTCTGTCTGGCCTAAGAATTAAACTGACATGAGACAGAATAACAGGAGAAAATCAAACAAAGCTTGGTAACATGTATACACGGGAGAAACCCAGGAAACTGGGTAACTCAGCATTCTGGCTGAGGTTGTCATCTTAAATAGCATTTTCAGCTAAAGACGAAGGAGGATGCTGGGGGTAGTGGTTTGGAACTTCAAAGGGGAGGAAGGTAATTCACATGGAGATGGAAAAGCGAATGTTTGGTAAACGGAACTTTGATAAGGATGGGCTCAGCAAGGACCCTCCCAGTCTATTGATACCCAGAGTTATCCACGGTGATGGCCTGTCCTGGGGACAGGCCTTCTATCTTAAATTATTTTTTAGGCAGTTAGTTGCGGGGGAGGTCAAAGTTTCTTTCAGAGTCTTCTGTTCTTGAAAATAATCATGTGTTTCTATGGTGTCACTGAACCTTTCTCTACTTCCTGTATTCCCTGTGACCTGACACTTTGATCTAGCAGTGTGATCAGGCTCATTTCTATTTCTGTAACAAATCTTTGTCATATACCTACTACATGCAAAGAAGCTGCTAGTTAGATCACAGGTCAACAAAACAACTGGGTGGTTATTTACGTTTATGGGTCATCTCGTATGTGGACAGTCACGCTCACAAAAACAGAAGGATGTCTGTTATACATGAAGTGAACAATGCAATGTGCAAAATAATGTGTAGTATAAACCTTTAAAAATGTTTAGAACCACTCAACCTGTATACGGACTTGTTTGAAAATGTATTTAAAAAGTGACAAGAAGATCTAAACCAAACAATAGAGATCTCTGATTTGGGTTTGTCAGGAGATGAGGGGCAGGGGACTTGCACGTTTTCCTTTGTTCACTCCTATCTTGTTTAAGTTTTTATAAATGAATGTGTATTACTTTTGTCATTGAAAAGAAAGAGAGTGAGGAGGGTGGGAGGGAGGAACCAATAAAGAGGGAGAGGAGAAAGGAAGGGGAAGCGTGAGAGGGCGAGGGCGAGCTCCTCCTGACAAGCAGATGAGACAATTATAAGGATGCACAAAGCCAGATGGTTAAATATTTTGTATGTCTCTCTGGCTCCTTGACCAACCAGAATAGACCCCAGCCATTCATAGTGTTATCACCTCCCTGTATGGGTACGTAACCGATGAGCAGGAGCCCTGGCTCAGTATTCATGGCTCTTGGACACCTGTCTCTGCTCAGGCTTCATGTACACTCAGGGCCACATGCTCAGTGTCTCGGGGTTACACACTGGGCACCGTTCACATAGGCCACCATGTGACTGGCACCAGCTGGAGCTGCACATCCTCCTGGAGTGGCTTGGGCACACCTTCTCTGACAAGGGCTGAGGGAAAGGTAAGATGCACAGGAGAGAAGGGGAACCAGCTCAGAGTGGGAAGGAGCTAAGGCCTACAGGTACAGAGAAGGGCAGGGCAGAGTACAGAGGCTGAGGAGATGTACAGAGCCGCATCCTAAGTACCAGACCCAGACAGGTTACTGGACCTCTCTGAGTCTCGGATGTAAAATGCGGGTGGTAAGATACAGCTCATGGGTGGTTGTTAGGCTTATAAATAAAGCATATGGAGCAAATGCCTTGTAAAAACCACACGTGTTAGTGAAGATGGCTGTTTGACCTTTCATCCGTTGGTCATCGTGAGCTCATGGTGAGCCCATCCATCTCAGAGCTGGAATTAGGACTCAGAACCCCGAGGTTCCTCTTGCTTGCTCTCTCCTGAGCTGCGTGGGTTTCAATGTCACAGACTGGTTGTGCTGCTGCTTTTCTAAACTATGGACAAAGTATCTGATACACTCTTACACTTTCTAAAACGTGGTACTCAATAAATGTAAGTCGATTTTATTGTAGTTTTTTAAGAAAGTCCCGCGTACTGAGTGCTTACTCCGTAAGCACGTGGGCAGGGCTTCGCCCCTCCGTCTGGTGCTCGGTGGGTAACTACAGACTCAGGGAAATCCCTGAAGATCTGGACACCTGGAACCTGGGGACCCCGGCTGCCCCACACAGTGGCCCGGGAGCAGTATATGAATCACCCAGTGGAGTTCATTTTCCCATGTGATGACAAGAGAATTGGCAAGACTGGTCACACTCCGTTAGCGGCAGAACTGGGACTAACATTCTGGCCTCTTGACTCCCAGCCCACTTGTTACAACACCCCCATAGAAAGGAGCCTTTAATTTGAATTAGAGGGATTTCTTAAAGTTAATCTAAAAATTGCTGCTGTTTCGTGGAAAGGAATGTGTCTAGTTTGGGGTTTTGTTTTGTTTTGTTTTGTTTTGTTTTTTGGTGAGGAAGATTGTCCCTGAGCTAACATCTGTGCCAGTCTTCCTCTCTTTTGTGTGTGGGACACTGTCACAGCATGGCTTGATGAGCAGTGTGTAGGTCCACGCCCAGGGTCCAAACCTGTGAACCCTGGGGTCGCCGAAGCGGAGCATGCGAACTTAACTGCTATGCCACCGGGCCGGCCCTGGAATGTGTTTTTTTAAATGGTATTCAATACGCTTTTTAAAAAAAATTCAAAATTAATTTCATTTTTTTCTTTAAGGAGTGGTGATGTATTTTGGTCAGCAGATGAAATACTATTATTTTTTATATAGTTCCCCTTACTGCCAGTAACTTTCATATAACCACGGGAACTAGATTTAGTCACCATAGTTTAATTTAACAGACAAGCAAAAAACTCCAGCCGATTTTACTGTAAATCAGTCTGTTTGATTGTATCAAATATTTTGTTTCAAGAGAAAAGATAATCTGAATATTTAATTTTAAATTATTCTACATGTTGGCACCAACAGAAATAAAGAATAATTATATGAGAATAATGATGATTCTCATAAATAAGTTTTGGGGTAAACTTTTTGACAGTTTTTATTGAAGTATAAAATTCACCAATTTTAAGTATTCAATTCAGTTGTTTTAACAAACGTTCATTGTGTAACCATCATCGTAATAACAGAGATATAGGACATCTCTATCATAGTATCGGGGTCAATTTTAATTATTTTTATTAATTATAGGTGTGAATTTCTTCAAAGTAAGAAATCCTCAGAGGAAATCGCCCAGTATATTCAAAGCTACAAGGGATTTGTTGGCGTCACGGTAATTTGTAACGGCACATTTTTCCTCTGGTTGGCTTGATTACCTCATAACCCATACCCGGACGGTGGGGGCATTCTTTCCCATGGGCTCTCCTTCTCCGTCCCTTCCTTCGTTTCCCCACCCCTCATCTGGCAGAGTGGAGAAAACCGCCTTCTCTTGCTGAACTAGAACCCTCAGAATTGCTTTCTCTAGGCCAGCCTTTTGATTGGTCGTCTGCCTCCCTGACAGTCTTCCCCTTTGACTGAGGCCACCTGCCCAGCTTCCCTTGGCTGCCCTTCTGAAAGCCTGCTGAGATGTTGGGACCAGGCACCATCACCAGGCTCCTACCTCTCACTTTATGCTCTGCAGTAAGGATGCCCTTGTGGCAGGTGACGGGAAACCCAACCCAAAATGGCTTGAGCGAAAAACAGAATTCATTGGCTAACATGACTCAGAAGATGAGAATCTTGCAGAGAACCTGGCCTGAACGTTGGAGAGGAGTGTTTTCTCAGAAAGGAATCGGGGGATTGTCAGAGAAGGGGCAGTTGCTCAACACCTAACCAGCAGGCTCCATCCAGCTTCCTTCCTCCATCTCCTCCTCCCCGCCAGTCCTTCCTCTGTCTGATCCTTCCCCGTCAGTCCAAGGGCATCTATGCTGTCTCAATGGAGCTCCACTTCTGAGCTGCATCTCCAGGAAAAGTGACCTGAGAAGGCTTCCTGTTGGGTACAAAGAAACAGTCACAGGGCGGGGGTTTTGTTTTTTTTTTCCACTGCATAAAAAAATTCCAAGATTAATAGAAATAAGATGGTTATCCAGCGACCCTGCCACTCAAGCCAGTGAAACTCTTCACTTCTGGGGAGAAGTTCTTTCAGTTTTTATTCATGGGTAGGTGTCTGCTCCAAGTCAAACAGGCAATAACTTGCATTTTCATTTCCTTCAGGGAGAACATTTTGTGAATTCCTGGGTCAAGAGGGACGTACCTATGGCATCAGGTAAAGACTCAGACGTGCTCCAAGGTCTTGGCTTGTTTCTTCCTTCACTTTTTTTTTTTGTCCTCATTTTTTTTTAAACCTTTCCATTTTCCTCCTCATTTTATGGTGCCATAAATCATTTTTTTAAATAAAACATTTTCACAAGAGATTTCTGGTCTTCTAGAATGACTTAGTTTTCCAGCATAAATGAGCATAGGGAAATATGGCAGAGTTGGGTCCTTGACTGACACTTCCCTTAAAACAGAATTTCTGGGACCAGCCCTGGTGCCTGGTGGTTAAGTTCAGCACTCTCCACTTTGGCAGCCCAGGTTCGGTTCCCTGGTGCTGACCTACACTACTCTGCTAGAGGCCGTGCTGTGCTGGCAGCCCACATACTAAACAATAGAGGCAGACTGGCACAGATGTTAGCTCAGGGTGAATCTTCCTCAGGAAAAAACATATTCTGGACAAAACGGTTTTGAAAACATTCCTAAATGGATTAGTGTCTGTTGAGAAATTAAGTGTGAGATAATAGGAAAAATATGTATTGGTCTCTGCCCCTGTTCCTGGCACAGGGCTCCTGGAACCCTCGTAAATTCCTAAGTGAGAAGAGCACTGGGAGCATCTTTCGGTCTATTGAGGCGACTCTGGGTGGCTCCTGGATGGGGCTTTCTCCAGAGACACTAAGCCATGATCAGTAGCTTGGAATTGTCAGCCCCACCTCCATCCTCCAGAGAGGGGAGAGGGGCTGGAAATGGAGTTAATAATTGATCAGACCTACATGAGGAAGCCTCCGTAAAATCCCAGTAGTAGGAGGTCCAGAGAGCTTCCAGGTGGGTGACCATGTCCCCACTAGGAGGGTGACGCCCCCCAACTCCACGGGGATGGAATCTCCTGTGCTCGAGACCCTCCCAGACCCCACCCTGTGCATCTCTTCATCAGGCTGTGCATCTGTATCCTCATCATATCCTTGAATAAACTGGTAAACATAAATAAGTGTTTCTCTGAGTTCTGTGAGCCACTCTAGTAAACGAAGTGGGATGGGAGCAGTGCTGTGGGACAAAGCCCTTAACCTGTGGCAGCTGACGCTATCTCAGCGTAGGCAGTGTCGGAATCAAGTTAAATTGTAGGACACCCAGCTGGTGTCAGAGACTTGTTTGGTGTTCTGGGGGAAACTCCCACACAGCTGGTGTCAGAAGTGTTGTGAGTGTGTTAGTGGTGTGGGAGTAAAGGAGACACACAGGAAAGGATTGAGGTTTTTCCAACCCATTAAGTAATATTCATATTAAAAATGAAGTGACAGCAGGAATCCTGGGGTTAAGGGGGACAGTGATGCCCACTTTCTTCTTAAGGAAATTTGCAGAACCAAGTTAACATAAGTTTTCAAGTCCTCACATGGTGCAGAAGATGGGAACCAAACCCGGGGCCAGCACCCATGGGAAGTCTAACAGAGACCACTCTATAGAGTGGACACCCTAAAGGGGAGAAATAAATCTGCCTGCTCTTAAGGGAGATACAAGGAAATTGCCTTTCTTCAATCCTGACACTAACTTGGGGAGGAGGGGACTCTCTAGCTTTTCCTTGTTTTATTCTGTTACTAGACAATGAAGAGAGAATTTTAAAATGCTTTATTGTAGAGAATTTTGAACATACACAGAAATAAGACAATAGTGTACACCCAGCATATACCCATCACACTGCTCCAACAGTTTGCTTGTGGTCAATCTTGCTTCGTCTAGACACCTTTTGTCTTTTCCCTCCTGCAATTATGTTGAACCGAACTCCGCATATCACACCGTTCCATCTGTGAATAGGAGGGGAGGACTTGAACACTGATGCTTTCTGGTCTCACCATATGCCTTTTATTCAAGCTTATTGCAGTAACAGCATCTTTGCGAATGAAGAACTACGGCTGGACTCTTTTAAGAATTGGCCTCATGCCTCCCCCGTGGGAGTCGCAGCTCTGGCCAAGGCAGGCTTTTCCTACACAGGTGAGTCAGCAGTGGCGCCAAGCTCTTGCCTGGCTCCCCTTTTAATCCCCACATCCTCCTCATGATGCTGGGCCTGTGTTTATCTACACTCAACAACCTCCACTCTTAATCATTCCTTGTGTGCCCTTTTCCTCGCTGAATCATAAATCTCTCTCAGTTCCACACCTCCCTTAGGCAGAGAAGCTCCAAACTTGAAACCTTAAGGTCTGGACCAACAGTGAATACAGGTATTCTGTTTGGGATGATTATCATGTCTTTTACATTCTACACCTTACTCCCTGCATCCCTGAAAACTGTCATATGACCCCTCTGCTTCTATCTCCTTCACCAGAGCTTAGTAGTCAGATGACCATACTTAGCTATAAGAGGAGCTGGGACTTTTCATCTTTTTCCTGGGCGGCAACGTGCCCAGCTAAAAATTGAGGTTTCTGTTGGTATGGAAGAATGAGAGACACTGGGACTGTGGATAGCAGTCTGTGCCACACTCCCCTTGGAAGAGAAAGTCAAGAAATTCTTCTTTGATTCCTCAGCATGTAGAATCTTCCGTCAGTTCACAGTATTCTCTCTTTAACTGTTGGTCATCAGGAAGTTCCCCCCTGTAATCTGGGATGGACTGGTTCCCCTCAGCTAAATCTCCGCCCAAGGTACAAAAAGGTGATCAGAGGAAGGATGCTTCCTTCCTAGGGACCCTGTGGCCTTCTTCAGACCAGACACATGCACTGAGTTACAGTGGAGGTCCACACAGATCTTGTACTGAGAGGTCAAGTAGACCTCACAAATACCACAGAACAGTGCAGAGCAGGAGAATGTGGTCACTTTATCCAACAGACATCATCCCATTGGCACAAAAAGTCTTCTTGCCTCACAGTCTTATGCATTTGGAAAGACAGTGTTCCACCCTCCATCCCTCCTCTCTCTATTCTGTCTTCTTCTTGCCAGCCTTCCTCAAGGACCCTCTGTCCAGTGTCCTCACCCTCTTCCTTTCTGAACCTCTACCTCTCCCCACAAATCCTAGTCTTCTGACCCTTTTAGGGTCTTTTAAGTTCCAGAACCTCATATTTTCATCCGGACACAAAAGGAGATCTTCCTCTGCCTTAGCTTTGTGGTGTGTACAGGGGTCTGAGAGTGGAAGATGCTCCATTTCTAGAAATGATGTTCCATTTCTAGTTCGATCCTTTGGTCAATCCAAATGCTAATTTCCTTCCGAAGAAATACAGTCTCACAAGGAGACTTGATCTTGCTTCTAGTGGAATAAACCTGGCAATTATGTAGTAAGAGGCATTTGAGTCTTCATGAACTTACTTACATAATGGCTGCTACGTTTGCTCATGTTTTTTTTTTCCTGAGCTCCAAATATATTCTTTCTGATTTGTTCATTAAACAAATACTCACCGAGTGCCTCATGGGTGCCAGGACTCTTCTAGGTCCATAAGATTCATGAGTGAGCAGAACAGACAGACATCTCTTCCTCACGGAGCTTCAGTTCCACATTCTGACTTGCAGCTCTCTCGCTCCCGAGAAGGAGGGAACATAGAGAGGGCGTTCATCAAAGTGCGAGGTACAAGGCACAATGACTATTTGCTCATCACCCCACTGGTGAGAGAAGAGTCCTATATAGAACATTGCCTCACTGGTGACCCAAGTTGTGACTTTGTCACAAAATCTGATTAGAAATGCAAGTTGGGTTTTGCTAATAAAGGCCTGTGATTATTATCTGTGTGACTTAACATATACACACGCCAGTGGCACTGATCTAATTTCCTTCCTTCCAGGAATAAAGGACGTGGTCCAGTGCTTTTCCTGTGGAGGATGTTTGGAGAACTGGAAGGAGGGTGATGACCCATTAGAAGATCACACCAAATATTTTCCCAAGTGCGTGGAATGAAGCTTTAGAGTTTGAATTTGGATGTACTTGAACAATTTCCCCTCATTTTCTCCTCTGATTAAGTCTTTGTGTCCCCTCTGATTCACGCTGTGAGGGGGGAGGCTCTCTCTCTCTCTTACGCTTTGCTCTCATCATAGGTGTCCTGTAGTTGGTCAGTCAGCATTTTTACCTGTTGACATCGTCATGACAGCATAAATTCTGTGCAGAGCTGAACCTTGTAGTAAATTATGGTTCATTGTCCCTCCTTGTACAACTTGTAATTCTTTTAGGAAGTAATAATTGTCTCATTAGTATGTTTGCTTAGCTTCGTGGTTTTTGAGGTGAAATTCACACATTAACCATTTTAAAGTGCACAATTCAGTGGTATTGAGCACATTCACAATGTTGTGCAGCCACCTGCTTCCTCCATCTAATTCCAAAACATTTCCATCATCCCAAAAGAAAACTCTGTACCCATTAAGTAGTCACTCCTCATCTCCAACCCCACCCCACCCCCTTAGAGCTATTGATCTGCTTTCCATCTCTGTGGATTTACCTGTACTGGATATTTCATACAAATGGAAGCACATATTACGACCTTTGTGTCTGGCTTCTGTCACTTAGCATAGTGTTTTGAGGTTCATCCGTATTGTAGCATGTACCAGTACTTAATTCTTTTTTTGTGGCTAATTTCAATTTCATTTCAATTTCTCCACATCTTCACCAACACTTATTTTCCTTTTCCTTTTTTTTAATTATAGCGATTTGCTTAGTTTTTTATGTATTTAGTGCCAGTTCATCTTCAAATTCTCCCAGTTCTCCCAATTCTTCAATTTTCCAAATGTTTAAATCTCTTGTCCAGTCATTCAGACCTACAAGATATCCAAGCATTTTCATTTTCTTGAAGGAGTCTGTCCTGCAGTCTTCTGACCTGTTCCAAGATGAACAACTTGTCCCGTAGTCATTTGAGGATCCTGGGATCTGTCTTCACAGTCATCCTAGGGGTTCCCATTGCCTCTCTCTTGTGTTGTAGCTCCTGTTTCTGGTACCTAATGTCATCCTTTTCTTGGTTTATTCATTCATTTTGTGGAACACTCCTCCATAGTTCCCTGGGAAAGATTGCATAAGAGATGCATGTTTTTAGCTTGCATATAATGCATATACCCTAACATATATATATATATATATATATTTTTCACACTTGTTTGGTAGTTCAGCTAGGTATAGAATTCTAGGTTGGAAGTCATCCTAATTCTAACCTATAGAGACATTGCTGCATTTTCTAATAGCTTCCAGTGTGGCTGTTGAGAAGTTCCACACCTTTCTGATACTTAATCCTTTGATCGCAAACTACTTTGACCCCCTCTGGAAGCTTCTAGGATTTTGTTTGTTTCCAGTGTTCTAAAAATTCATCAAGAAATAGCTATTTCTTTAATATTTCTTTTCTATGACTCTTAAAACATTTTTTGGCTTATTTATTTTTCACCCACCAAACTCTGCAGAAATGTTCAATTGCAAGAAGGAATTTGTTGTTTTCACTTTGTAATTAGTATGAGTTTTTCCAGAAATAAATATTAATACATACAGATCTTAATGTGAATACTTCCATCTAATTCTAAGATTCTGGAGAGGATGCTGCTTTGAAGGTATTTTTTTTTTTTTAAGATTTTATTTATTTATTTATTTTTCCCCCAAAGCCCCAGTAGATAGTTGTATGTCATAGCTGCACATCCCTCCAGCCACTGCATGTGGGACGCAGCCCCAGCATGGCCGGAGAAGCGGTGCCTCTGTGCGCTCCCGGGATCTGAACCCGGGCCACCAGCAGCGGAGCGTGCGCACTTAACCGCTAAGCCACGGGGCCGCCCCACTTTGAAGGTATTTTGACAGAAGTAGTTGCTTTTTTTCTTATTTGGATTTAACATTTACTAAATTATTGAGAACAGTGGGAATAGTCTTCTTTATTCTTGGAAAGATAAGTCAGGATGCAGTCTAATTTTATTTAGAACTTTTTCTAGAATCTATCATCTCCCTTTTTGTGTAGGTTTTTACTCTTCCTCTGCCTCCTTTTTTATTTTATTTTATTTTTTTTGTGAGGGAGGTCAGCCCTGAGCTAACATCCATGCTAATCCTCCTCTTTTTTTGCTGAGGAAGACTGGCTCTGAGCTAACATCTATTGCCAATCCTCCTCCTTTTTTTTTTCCCCAAAGCCCCAGTAGATAGTTGTATGTCATAGCTGCACATCCTTCTAGTTGCTGTATGTGGGACGCAGCCCCAGCATGGCCGGAGAAGCGGTGCGTTGGTGCACGCCCGGGATCCCAACCCGGGCTGCCAGTAGCAGAGCTCGCGCGCTTCACCGCTAAGCCACGGGGCCGGCCCTCTGCCACCTTTTTTAAATTGCAAACTAGGATGCCTCTAAAGGAGCACCTAAAATACCTATGTGTGATGTAAAGGACAATGATAAACCAATGAACCCACAGCTAGAGTTAAGAAGTTGAATATTACCAGTGCTTTAGAAGACCACATGTGTCCCCCTCCCCAATTCCAATTACGTCCTTGTCCCTCCAATACAGAGGTAAACGTGATCCTGAATTTGGGGTTAATTCTTCCTTTGCTTCTCTTTATGGTTTTACCAACTACGTATGTATCCTTCAACATATTTACATTTGCTTCTTCTTGAAGTTCAAATAAATGGGAGCATCCTGCACAGTTCTTCTGTGATTGCCTCATTTTGCTCCACATTGTTTTTGAGATTCATCCATAATTATATGTAAAGTTGTAGTTCATTGTTTTCACTGCTATATAATTATTTTATGAATATATAATAATTTATCCATTCTATTCTTGATTCAACATCTGGGTGCCTTTCAGAGTGTTGCAAATTCAAAAAATGCCACTGTGAACATTCTTGTACACATTTCTCAGTGCTCATGTGGGTTTCTCTAGGATACACAAGAAACCATGGGATTGCAGAGTCACAGGGTTTGCACATATTCAACTTTACTAGATGATACAAAACTTTTTTCAAAGTGGTTTTACTGATTTACATTCCCATTAGCATGGATGGGTTCCCATTGGTCTGCTTCCTCACTAACTTGGTATTGCCCAAATTTTCCTATTTGTCACTCTAATTACTAATAATGTTGAGCATATTTTCATATTTTCCTATACAATTTCCTTGTTCTTTTTCTTCATGAGCATGTTTGGCTATTCTTTTCCCTTTGCTCTTTTGTATCCAGAGAATATGTGAAATATCCCTTTTTATTCCTCATAGTATTATTTATTCTTAAATCTTTATCTGATATTAATATAGCCACTCCAGCTTTTCTAGAATTAGTTTTTACATGGTATGTCTTTTTTGAAATCGTTTTACTTTTAATCTATGACTTTATATTTAAAATGAGTTTCTTGTAGGCAACATAGTTGGTCTTGCTTTTTTTTTTTTTTTTGTGAAGAGGACTAGCCCTGAGCTAACATCCAATGCCAATCCTCTCCTTTTTTCTTGAGGAAGACTGGCCCTGGGCTAACATCCATGCCCATCCTCCTCTGCTTTATATGGGACGCAGCCACAGCATGGCTTAGCAAGCTGTGCGTTGGTGCGCACCCGGGATCCGAACCTGCGAACCCCAGGCCACCGAAGCAGAGCGCGAGCACTTAACCGCTTGTGCCACTGGGCCGGTCCCGGTCTTGCTTTTTTAACAGTCGGACAATACCTGCTTATAATGGGAACGTTTAGAACATTTACATTTAATGTCGTTATTGATTTGGTTGGATTTGAATCTACTATTTTGCTATTTGTTTTCTCTTTATCCCATCTCTTCTTTGATTCTTCTTTTCCTGACTTCTTTGGGTACTTTTCAGTATTCCATTTTATCTCTAATGTTGGCTTATTAGTCGTATATCTTTATTTTGTCTTTTTAGAACCTGCCCTAGAATTTACAATATGCATGTTTAACATCACAGTCATCTTCAAATAGTGTTACCACACTTGACATACGTCTGAGCCATGTAACAGTGACGCCTATCTCTCGCTGCCTATCCTTTGTGCGATTATTGTCATTTATTTTCTTCCACATATATTATAAATCTCACAATATAGTGTTACATCTTTGCTTTAAACAATTATCCTTTAAATACATTTTAAAAAGAGACAAAAATGTCTTTTATATTTACCCACTTGGTTACCATCCCTGGCATTCTTCATTCCTTTGGGTAGAACCAAGTTTCCATCTGTTATCATTTTCCTTTTAACTGAAGAACTTCCTTTGTGTAGTGAAGGTCTGCTAACTGTACTAACTGTACAGGCAACTAACTGTATTGGCTTTGTTAGTATGAAAAAGTCTATATTTTACCTTCCTTCAAAGTCCTTTTCCTTGATAGGTCTACCTGTGTAGCAACCGTGGACAGAAACGTTCCAAGTCCTACTTGCTGTTTCCCTGTGGCTACCTCCTATTCCAGGACTTGTCTCCAAGCCGTCTAGAAACATAAAAATGGAGTGTCCTCTTGCCTTATCTCCTGCTGTCCTGTGATCCTGCAGCATGAAAATGCACCCAAGACAGTTGGTTGTTCCTAGTTTTCCCATTTACCTACTCACATTTATCCTTCCCATTTCTTCAAGTTCATCATGTGGGGAGAGCTCTCTAGAATTTTCTCCCTTGGTTCTTTGGGCAGACATCATACCTGAGTTTAGATGTCTTGCTTTCATGATGTCTGGTAAATAGTTTTCAGAGAATATGTTTGTGGCCATTGTTTAGTTTTCGTATTGATGGAGTTTTTTGGTTTTTTTTTTTTTGAATAAGCTTTTATTTGGGAATAATTTTAGATTTAGAGAAAAGGTACAAAGATAATACAGAGAATTCCTATATCTGCACACCCAATTTCCCCTCATACCAACATCTTACATTACATGTGACATTTGTCAAAATTAAGAAGCCAACATTGGCGCATTACTGTCAATGCCAGACTTTAGTTGGATTTCACCAGTTTTTCTATTAATATCCTTTTTTTGTTTCAGAATCCATAGATGGAATTTCTTCTCTATTTCTGATTCTTTAGGTTCATTTTAGTTAGTTTCATGGATGAGTGTTAAATAGGCACTCATTCCACCACATTTGCTGGTTATCCCCACCGTTGCTTTATAAACCACTTATGTTTCTGTCGCTGAGAGCCACAGTCTAAATGTCCTGTTTGACGACGATGCTGACAGAATCACTGGAAATGTTAATTTCATACTAGTTTTTGCCATTAAAACTCTAATAGTGCTTTTAAAAACCTAATACAGATGCTTAATTGCATACAAATGTTTTTATAACTTTTAACTTTTGTGCTTAGTTGTCAGTTTCTCCAAAATATGAAGTCCTCTGTAGAAGTGATTCCAGACCTTCAGAGCCATGGTGAATTTTCTGAATTAACGGTAATGAACAACACTACCTTGTTTATTTTAGCAGTACATGATCATGTGATTAAAAACTGTTTTTGAACAGGAATTGCTCATTGTAAATAAGTAGGTAAATACATAAATTCTACCAATATCTATTAAGCACCTATCACGTGCTAAGTGTGGATAAGGATAATAAACCAGTAAGACATGATACCCAGCTCCATGAAATGTAGAGTCAGGCCTTCCTACTTTGGGGTCCAGACTCTTAGACTTAGTGCTGATTAGCATCCAGGCTACCTGGAGTCCACCTGTGATCTGCATCTGGAAGACGGTGTGGTCTGACTTGCTACTTGGCCTTTCCCAGGGCTGGGAAGGTATTTGTCTTATAAAAAGTAAATGACAAACCAAATCATAACCCAGGTAATAGGTTGACCCCTTTAAACTGAGAAATCCTACACAGTTCTCTGGGACATAAGCCACTATCAATTTCACACACACACTCACACACATACCTTATTTGAGGCTGTATGTTAGGTACATTATGTTTGCCATCCCATAAAAAGAAAACAAAGTAATTTGCTATTCACTTGATTCATCTTTTATATTTGTGAATTGAAAAATGAACTTAAAAAAAAGTGTGGGGATATATAAATAGCTTATTTTTTAAGGATGAAACATAACCTTCCTACATCCTAGGTATGTGATATTAAAAATGTTAATAACTAAGGTCAGAAGCTGCACCTAATGACTTTTGGAGGGTCCGCCTTGCTCTAGACGCTGTGATTCTGCTTACCTGGACTAATCCCTGCTTGACTGGCCCATGGAATGTAGCGTACGTGACCCCTGGGTGTGCGCGCCCAGAGGGGTTTGCAGGTCATTTACTGTTTCCTATTTGTAGCGCTCCTCTTGGCGTAAACGTTTGAGGGTGGGCTGTATTTAGAGGTTGTTTGGTCCCTGATTGTAACATGATGTCCCACTCTCTTACACAAATCTTGGTTTAATAGAGGATTTTATTTTCAAAGGAAACCACATGTGAAAGCAATCTTGAAGATTCGGCAGCAGTTAGTCCTACAGCGCCAGGTAAGGATTTTGAAGTAGCACATGGGATGATACGTATGTGTGCATCTGTTTGTATGGAGGGAATCTAAAAGCGAGAGTATTTGTAGCTGCGCCTCCTTTCTTCTCTCCACAGAGATGGTCCAGGGTGAAGCCCAGTGGTTTCAGGAGGCAAAGGGTCTGAGTGAGCGACTGAGAAAAGCCTACACCAGTGCCCGTTTCTGCCACATGTCTTTGCTTGAGGTCTCTTCCTGCCAAATCACTGACCAGTTGCTGGGTTGTGATCTGTCCCTTGCTTCAAAACCCATCAGCAGTCCTGTGCAAGAGCCTGTGGTGTTGCCTGAGGTCTTTGCCAACTTGAACTCTGTCATGTGTGTGAAGGGGGAAGCTGGTAGTGGAAAGACGGTCCTCCTGAAGCAAATAGCTCTTCTCTGGGCATCAGGATGCTGCCCCTTGTTAAACAGGTTCCAGCTGGTCTTCTATCTCTCCCTTAGCTCTACCAGACTGGACCAGGGGCTAGCCAACATCATCTGTGACCAACTCCTAGGGACAGAAGGCCCTGTCACTGAAGTGTGCCTGAGGAACATCATCCAGCAGTTAAAGAACCAGGTGTTATTCCTTCTGGATGACTACAAAGAAATGTGCTCGATCCCCCAAGTCATAGCAAAACTGATTCAAAGAAACCACTCCTCAAGGGTCTGCTTATTGATTGCTGCCCGCACAAGCAGGGCCAGGGACATCCACCGATACCTACACACGATTCTAGAGATCAAAGTGTTTCCCTTCTATAATACCATCTATATACTACGGAAGCTCTTTTCACGCAATATGGCCCCCCTGAGGAAGTTTATGGTTCACTTTGGAAGGAACAAACGTTTGCAGGGAATTCAGAAAACTCCCCTCTTTGTAGCAGCAGTCTGTGCTAATTGGTCTCGGTATCCTTTAGACCAGTCCTTTGATGATGTGGCTGTTTTCAAGTCCTACATGGAATGTCTTTTCTTAAAGTACAAAACCACAGCTGAACTTCTCAAAGCAACTGTGTCCTCCTGCGGTGAGCTGGCCTTGAAAGGATTTTTTTCATCTCGATTTGAGTTTCACGATGATGACCTTGTAGAAGCTGGGGTCGATGAAGACGAGGACCTAGCCATGTGCCTGATGAGCAAATTCACAGCGCAGAGACTGAGGCCAGTCTATCAGTTTTTAAGTCCTGCGTTCCAAGAATTTCTTGCTGGGATGAGGCTGGCTGAACTCTTGGATTCAGATAGGCAAGAAGATCAAGATTTGGGACTTCATTATCTGAAACAAGTGAACTCGTCCTTGATGGCTGTAATTCCCTATAACAATTTTTTGAACTACGTCTCCTGCCACGCTTCAACCAAGGCAGGGCCAAAAGTTGTATCTCATTTGCTTCATTTGGTGGATAGTAAAGAGTCATTGGAGAACATCTCTGAAAATGATGACTACCTGAAGCACCGTCCAGAAATTTCAGTGGAGATGGAATTTCTCAGGGGCTTGTGGCAACTTTGTCCACAAAGTTACTTTTCGTTGGTTTCAGAACGTTTACTGGCTCTTGCTGTAAAAATTGCGTATCAAAGCAATACTGTTGCTGCATGTTCTCCATTTATTTTTGGATTCCTTCAAGGGAGAACCCTGAAATTAGAAGTACTTAAGTTACGGTATTTTTTTGACCACCCCGAAAGCCTATTATTGTTGAAGAGCATCCAGGTCTTGATACAAGGAAAGAAGGCCACAAGACTAGATTTTTCAGTCCTGGAAAGTTGTTTGGACAAATCACAGGCACCAACTATAGATCAGGACTATGCTTCTGCCTTTGAACCGATGAATAAATGGGAGCAGAATTTAGCTGAAAAAGAGGAAGAAGTGGCGAGTTTTCTGAATAAGCAACTCAGTGCACCGCCGGACATCAGCACTGGCTACTGGACACTTTCTCCAAAGCAGTACAAGATTCCCCTTCTGGAAGTCCATGTGACTCATACTGATGCTGTGGGCCAGGAGATGCTCAGGGTTCTAATGGCAGTTTTCTCAGCTTCACAGCACATCAGACTCCACTTAGAGGACAGCAGGGGCTTTATGGAAAGCATCCGCCCAGCCCTTGAGCAGTATAAGGCCTCCTTCACCAAGTGCTCCATAAGCAAATCTGAGCTGAGTGCGGGAGAACAGGAGTTGCTCCTCACCCTGTCTTCCCTGGAATCTCTTGAAGTCTCAGGAACGACCCACGTGCAAGGTACACCTGAGTGTAGTTTAGACGGCTATTCTGATACAGAATCTTACTTTCTCACTCTTAGTTGTTTTGTTTTGTTTTTTAATTTTATTTATTTATTTTTCCCCCAAAGCCCCAGTAGATGGTTGCATGTCACAGCTACACATCCTTCTAGTTGCTGTATGTGGGACGGGCCTCAGCATGGCTGGAGAAGCGGTGCGTCGGTGCGCGCCTGGGATCCGAACCCGGGCCGCCAGCAGCGGAGCGCGCACACGTAACCGCTAAGCCACGGGGCCAGCCCACACTCTTAGTTTTAAGAGGATGAAAACTTCTGAAAGCATGAGACCATTAATGCTTGCTGATAGAATAGACACAAGATAAACCTTCAGGGGCCAGCCTGGTGGTGCAGTGGGTAGGTTCGCATGCTCTGCTTCCGCGGCCCGAGGTTCGCTGGGTCGGATCCCGGGCACAGGCTGACGCACCGCTTGTCAAGCCATGCTGTGGCGGCGTCCCATATAAAGTAGAGGAAGTTGGGCATGGATGTTAGCTCAGGGCCAGTCTTCCTCAGCAAAAAAAAAAAAAAAAAAGAGGAGGATTAGCAACAGATGTTAGCTCAGGGCTAATCTTCCTCACACACAAAAAATAAATTAATAAAATAAAATAAACTTTCACTGATGTATTTTTGTCAGTAGTATGAATTAGTGAAAGGCCTCTGAATAATAGAATGGTTTTCAAATAACTCAGATAAAATTAATAAAATATTAACTAATGAAGCCTCTTAATAAACACACAAATTACTTGTTATTAGTAAAAGAATGATCTATGTGTAAGACGATGCTTGAGAATTACTCTCCCTCTACCTGCTTAATGGAAGAAAGGACTCGTACTCTCTGGGAAGTACATACATGGGAGATAATCTCTCCCATTTATTTGTGTCTCCTTTTACTTCTCTGAGCAACGTTTGAAGTTTTCAGTGTAGACTTTATATATCTTTCATTTAACTTATTCCTAGGTACTTGTGGGGTTTTTTTGTTGTTTTTTGTGAGGAAGATTAGCCCTGGGCTAACATCTGTGCCCATCTTCCTCTACTTTGTATGGGACGCTGCCACAGCATGGCTCAACAAGCCGTGCGTAGGTCCGCGCCCGGGATCCGAATCGGTGAACCCTGGGCTGCCAAAGAAGAGCACACGAACTTAACCGCTACACCACTGGGCCGGCCCCGGTACTTCTGGTTTTTTGATACTTTTGTAAATAGTATTTAAATTTTTTTCACTTTCTGATTGTTGTAAGTGGGGCCTGGGTTTTTGCAGCGTGTTATATGCCTGGTATGCTTTGCTTTATATAGATCTTTCTTGAAGGTCACTGAGCGTTTTTTAGATCTGTGGGTTGATATTTATCATCAAATTTAGAAAAATTGCACTCATTTTTTTCAAATACTTTTTTTATTATGGTAAAATATACATAAAAATTACCCTTTAACCCTTTTTAAGTGTACAATTTAAAGGAATTAAGTACATTTACAATGTTGTGCAACCATCAACACTATCCATTTCCAGAACCTTTTCATCATCCCAAAGAGAAACTCTGTACCTATTAAACAATAACTTCTCCTTCCTCTCCCCAGTGCTGATAACGTCTAATCTACTTTCTGTCTCTGTGAATTGGTCTATTCTAGATATTTCATGTGAGTGGAATCATATAATATTTGTCCTTTTGTGTCTGGCTTATTTCACTTGGCACAATGTTTTCAAGGTTCATCCATGTTGTAGCGTGTGCCAGAACTCCATTCCTTTTATAGCTGAATAATATTTCATTGTGTGTATATATCACGTTTTGTTGATCCATTTATCTATTGATGGACACTTGCATTGTTTCTTCTGGCTGCTGTGAATAATGCTGCTGTGAACATGGGTGTACCAATACCTCTTTGAGACCCTGCTTTCAATTCTTTTGGATATATACCCAGAAGTAGAATTGTATTAATAACAGTATTCTATTAATTGTAGTAAATATATTTTAATTTTTGAGGACTCTCCAAACAGTTTTCCACATTGGCTGTACCATTTTACATTCCCACCAGCAATGTACAAGGGCTCCAATTTCTCTACGTCCTCCTCAACACTTGTTGTTTTATAATGATAAAGTCATCCTAGTTGGTGTGAAGTGGTATCTCATGGTAATTTTGATTTGCATGGCCCTAATGACGAATGATGTTGAACGTCTTTTCATGTGCTTACTGGCTGTTTGTATGTCTTTTTCAGAGACATGTCTATTAAGTCCTTTGCCCATTTTTAAAATTGTGTTGTCTTTTTGTTTTGAGTTGTAGGAGTTATTTGTATTCTCCTCCGATATTCTGGATATTAAATCCTTATTGGACATATGGTTTGAAAATATTTTCTCCTATTAGGTAGATTGTTCACTGCCTCGATAATGTCCTTTGATGAACAAAAGTTTTAAATTTTGATGACGTCTGATTTATCTATTTTTTCTTTTTTGCTAGTGCTTTTGGTAACATATCTAAGAATCCATTGTCAAATCCAAGGTCGTGAAGACTTACCCCTACGTTTTCTTCTAAGAGTTGTATGTTTTTAGCTCTCATATTGAGGCTGTTGGTCCATTTTGAGTTAATTTTGTATATGTTGGTGGGAGGTAGAGGTCTAGCTTCATTCTTTTGCACGTGGACATCCAGTAATCTCAGCGCCATTGGTTAAGGAGATGTCTTGTTTACTTTTGTGACTCCAGACAGTAGCAAGGGCTTCCCATATAGGAGATAAACAGTAAATGCTGCAAAAAGCAGTATCTTTATATGTGTACTTTCTAAAAAAGAATGTTTTAAGTCTGTGAAAGGTTTTCATATGAAAATAGCTTGATGAATCGAAAGACAGTTTCAAATTTTCCATTTGGAACCATTACCTTAATAATAGGGAAACGTGTGTTGCTTTCCAGATCAACTCTTTCCTAGTTTGGACAAGTTCCTCTGCCTAAAAGAGCTGTCTGTGAATCTGGATGGTAAAGAAAATGTTTTTTCAGTCATTCCTGAAGACTTCCTAAATCTCCACCGTATGGAGAAATTATTGATCCGTATTTCAGCTGAGCGTGGTCCTTCCAAACTAGGTAAGCATGGCACTTTGATTCACTTGTTTTTACACCTCTTGAAAAAGCTGCTTGGCCAATGATTTATTTAAGAGTTAAAGCGTCTCTGGATATGAGGAGGTCGCCAGTATCCGTGGTAAACTGTGGGAACAGCGCGCCTTCTCATTAGAGAAGCAGAGAGCTGTTTGTAGTTACTGAGCCCTTATTACCTGCTAGGAATTGTTCTAAGCACTTGACAAATATCGACTTGTGTAATCCTCATACCCATTCTGTGAGGAAAGGTGCCGTTGTTATTCTCGTTTTACAGCCGGGGAAAGTGAGGTATCAAGAGGTTGAGTACTTTGCTCAAGGTCACCCAGCTAAGGAAGTGGTAAATCTGCACCTCAGACACAGGAATTCCGACTGCTGAGTCTGAGCTCTGAACCACTGGTATACTGCCTCTCCAAACAGTTTGTAGAGCTCTTTTCTTCTGCTTTTGTTCAAGTTGCCGTTACATTGCAACTTACAGATCTGCCAGATCAGGGGAGGAATCTGCTGATCGGCAGCAATCGGAAGCATCTTCCTGTTTCTCGCCAGCCTGTCCTCACGGTTGATGGACAACCTGTGCAGCCATCTTTCTTAAGTACATCATTTAGCAAAATGACTTGGGCTTCATCAATTCCTTGGTTTAGTACAGACTGAGGAAATGTAAGTCTCCATGGAGTTGACCTGCAGTTGTACACAAACAAATCCAGGAAGCTGAAGCTGGAAGTGGTCGTTTTCTTACATTTGTCAGCAATTGTTGCATTAGTTTAGGTTTTGCTTCAGCATTGTCATTGCTTTTAGGTGCCTTTGTATAGTATTCCTATTGTGCAAATGTCATGTGCGCACTTAGAGACATTAGGATGTCAAAGCTGAAAGTGACCTTACTGAGTCAATGCCCTCATTTTACGGCAGAGAAAACTGATCCCCAGAGAGGGTCAGCAACTGTGCATCCAGGTTCACACAGTTGCTAGTTAGTTGCAGAACCTGAACCTAAGCCAAAGTGGCCTGATTCTTAAATCATGACATTGTGGTGCTTCCTTTTAATTCAGTGTTGTTGAAACAAAATACAAATTATAGGGCTAATTCTGATAGAAATTTGCAATCTTCTCTAATTTCTGAAATCTTTGATATTTTACAGTCAAATTAATTCAGAATTCTCCAGACCTTCATGTTTTCCACCTGCAATGTAATTTCTTTTCGGATTTTGAATCTCTCATGACTGCACTTGCTTCTTGCAAGAAACTCAAAGAAATTAAGCTTTCTGGAAATTTTTTTAAAGCCATCCCATTTGGTAAGAGCTATAATTGTAAAATTTTGGTTTAAGATGCTTCTGTGGACACAGAGTCATTTTAAGTACTTTTTAAAAACAGCCAAATTTTAAACGTGCAATTGATGTCAAAGAACAAAACTGTTGTAATAGATATCTGATCTTAAATGAATTCTCAAACAATAAGGTGTATTTGTTTCTAGAAGTTTAAACGTTTCTAGTTAGAATTATTTTCTGAGCAAAGATTTGTTTTATCTACTTAGTCATACTAATTAATTCTATCTGATTATATTGATTTCTATCACTTTTAAAATACTCTTTAAGCATATTACTTTTTAGTATAAGAGATGTAGCTGACATAATTTTTATTTCCCCTTTTATAGTCATCATTTTGCCAAATTTTACTTCTCTGAAGGTACTAAATCTTAAACAACAAGAATTTCCTGATAAGGAAACAGCTGAAAAATTTGGTATGTTTACAAAACAGTGCCTTTTACTTATTCTTTGTTTCCTTCCCCCTAAATCCTCTGTCTCCTGTTTTGCATTAGCCACAACAAATTGTGATATGCATTAGCTGCCCTGCTCTTTAGGAGGAAGGGACAGAGCCGCTCAGCTCTTACCCTCCGAATGCCTTGATCTCACTCAAAGCAGTGTTGTCAGAGTGACTGACTTCTTAGAATACACACTAGTGGTCATTATAGCACTAGGCAATTTCATTGTCAGGCACCCATTCCAAACATGGTAAGCCCCTGTTGTTTCAGAAGTTTCTAGAATGCAGGTAAAACTATCTTCTAAGGTTAAGAAAGCTCAGTATGTGAAAACCTAGATTTAACAAAATGATAACTATAGAAAGAGCTCAAATACTTTTTCACATTTTTTTCTTGTGATTACAAAAGTAATGTATGCTCATGGAAAAAATTCTAACAGGTGTTAAAAGATAAACTGAGGCATATTAAAAATTTTAAGAGTTTATTTGAGCAAAAATGGATGTGAATCGGACAGCATCCAATCTAGCAGATAGAAAGGAGCTCTGAGGAGCTGTACAGAATGAAAGATTTTTATAGGCAGAGGGAGCAGGAACAGGAAGTCATGCTAGGCAAAAAAGCAAGTTGCTTATTGCAAGGTTACCTTCCTTTAGGGGGATGGCAGGGCAGATGACATAACCAGTGCTGATCAGGCCATTCCTGATTGACTGGTTTCAGATTCCATTTCTGGGAGAGTCTTAGTGTGGTGATGTGGGGCTTAGCATAAGTGACTCCATTTGGGGCCTGTTGTCTTGTTTTTAAGGAACAGGAAAATATAGGGGGAGTCAGTGGAGATATGAGGGTAGAGCAGTAATGCTTCTCAAATTTCAGCATGCTTAAGATCTCTTCCTGTCTGTTTCCTTCCTTTGGATGCAGCCGTGTGGGTAGGGGAGGAGCAAGAGGGCTGAGGTGGCAGAGGCAGGATGAGGGGCCGAGGAGGTGTCTGTATACAACAGTTGACCAAGCAAATAACACTCTGAGAATAGCGAGCAAGTGTCCTCCCTGTTGGAGAAGGAATTTATAAATATTGAAAGGTGAGGCTAGAAAGAACTTTGAGGTGTTAAATTAGAATTGGAAATACTGGTGTGGACTCAAGGTTTTTAACCTATATTCATAGACATAAGGATATCTATGTGTATATAGGTCTCTTTATGTCTATATCTCTATACAGACACACACATATTTCTCAGTTCAGTCAATTGAGAGACTAGAAAGCACCCTAGTAAGAACAAGATCACCAATGCCCAGATCTTAGCTTTAAACACTGGCCTCCCTAAAAGTAGCCAGGGTCCTTGGAGAAATGGCTGATAAAGAACTGGGACAGCTGGGCCGGCCCAGCAGAGTAGTGGCTAAGTTTGTGTGCTCTGCTTCAGCGGCCCAGGGTTCGCAGGTTTCAAACCCTGGGGTGGGGAACCTACTCACCGCTCATCAAGCCATGCTGAGGTGGCGGCCCACACAGAAGAGCTATGACTCTACAACTATGGTACACAACTATGTACTGGGGCTTGGGGAGAAAAAAGAAAAAAGAAAAAGAGGAAGACTGGCAACAGATGTTAGTGCAGGGCCAATCTTCCTCAAAAAAAAAAAAAAAGAACTAGGACAGGGACAGTAAAAGATGAGCCTGGAACATGGTTTTGTGTTAGAAAGTGTTCAAAACATTTCCAGGTGTGAGGCCTCAGAAGTACAGAACTTTCTCTAGATCAAGTGACCCATAAGGTACGAAGCTAAGGAAGGATCAAAGTGAAAAGGAAAGCTATGCAAGTGGGGGCTTGTGAGGCTCTGGTGCTGGGGGCAGAGGTAGAAATCTCTGGGGATGACAGCAGGAGATGAGGTATAAAGGGGGGCTGAAGGCACTGGGAGCTAGGCGCGTGGCCTGGAGGCCAGTGGAAGCTTTGGGCTCAAAGAGGAACTAGAGTGGATAGGCATTCTGGACCACAGTGCGGGAGATGGGCTGGCAGGGGAGGAATGGTGGTCTGCAGGTAGCAGCGAGGGTCAAGGTGTAGGCCGACCTCTTTCTCTTGCCCATGGAGAGGAAGAGGAACAGCCTCTATCCTCCATGGGGCCTCCTGGACTGTGCATGATTTTGAGGCTGTGGATTACCATTGTTTGGGAACACGGGATGGAGAATAGCTTGTCTCTTCTGACAGCCCACACTTTAGGTTCTCTTAATAACCTGGAGGAATTGATCCTTCCTACTGGGGATGCCGTTCATCAAGTGGCCAAACTGATCATCCAGCAGTGTCGGCATCTTCGATGTCTCCGAGTTCTCTCATTTTACCAGACTTTGAATGATGACAGCGTGATGGAAATTGGTGAGCCACCCTCAGATAAACTGTTTCAGCTTGCATGAAAGCCAGTGGTAATACTTAAGCTTTTTGCTGCAAAATGTCTATGAAAACATTTGTCCCTCTAAAAATGTTCCACCCACTTTCTCATTTTCACTATCCTATTGTTCCCTCCAGTGTCCTGTGGACTTAGGTTCATTCTGGTCAGATTGGAAGTAAAAGATAGCCTCCCGTTTGAGATTATACAAGCCCTTGTCTGTCTGTGTTCTTGACACCTAGTGTCTCAGACACCTGGCCACATACCCTCCATGTAGTCCTTTTTATAGTACTTTTTTTTAAATTGAAGATTAATACACATCCAGAAAAGTACACAAATCCTAAGTGCACAGCTCAATGAATTTTCAAGTGAGCATACTTGAAAATGTTGTTACTCACCCTTGGGTAACGGTCACCCAGATTAGAATATGGAATATTACAAACATTCCAGAAGCCTCCTTTATGTCCCTTCTCTGACACCACATTCCCCTTCTTCCCAGAGGTGACCACTATACTACTTTCTTTCACCAAAGATTAGTTTTACCTGTTTTAAACTTGTATGTAATGGAATCATACACAGTATGTACTCTCGCATCTATCTTTTTTGGCTCAACATTCTATTTGTGATATTCATTCATATTGATGCATGTGGCTAGAGGTCATTGATTTTCACTGCTGTATGTTATTCCATTGTATGACTCTATACACCCCAATTTATTTATCCATTCAACTGGATATTTGAGTTGTTTCCAATATTTGCCTACTTTGAGTAATGCTGCTATGCATACTTACACGACTTTTGAGGTATATCTGAAGGTATTTCTAGGGGTGGAATTTGAGTCCTATGGTATAGACATACTCAGTTTTCCATGGTTGTACCAATTTACATTCCCACCAGCAGTTGTTTCACATTCTGGCCACTACTTGGTGTTGCCAGACCTTTCAACTTAGGCCATTCTGATGAATCTGTAGTTGTATTTCATAGCGGATTTTCTATTGGGAAATATTATGTTTTATGATTGGTAAGTTTTCGCAAGTTATATTTTTCTAGAAACTTTTAAATTTACCTAAAGTTGCTCATAATATATACTTATAATCTTTCAAAATATCTGTATGATCTATGGTAATAGTACCCTTTTTATATTCCTGATATTGGTAATTTATGCATTCTTTTTTTTTACCTAATTGGTGTATCAATTTTATTCTTTAAAAAATTTTTCTTTTGATATGTTTTTTTGTGTGTGTGTGAGGAAGATCAGCCCTGAGCTAACATCCATGCTAATCCTCCTCTTTTTGCTGAGGAAGACCAGCTCTGAGCTAACATCTATTGCCAATCCTCCTCCTTTTTTTTCCCCCAAAGCCCCACTAGATAGTTGTATGTCATAGTTGCACATCCTTTCTAGTTGCTGTATGTGGGACACAGCCTCAGCATGGCCAGACAAGTGGTGCGTCGGTACGGGCCCAGGATCTGAACCCGGGCCACCGGTAGGGGAGCGCACGCACTTAACCCTAAGCCACGGGGCCGGCCCTCTTTTCATATGTTTTTATTTCATTCATGTCTGCTCTTACCTCCATTATCTCCTCCTACTTTCTTTGGATATAATTTACTCTTTTTTTTTTGTCCTAACATCTTGAGCTGATAGAGCACTTTTGGCTTTAGCTCCCTCTCAAAAGTTTTATATGTCATTTTCATTCTCATTCAGTTCAAATATTTTCTAATTTCAGTTGTCACGTTTTTGCCACACCAGTTATTTAGAAATGTGTTGCTTAATTTTCAGATATTTGAGGATTGTCTAGTAATCTTTTTGTTCCTGGTTTCTAGCTTGATTTCACTGTCATCATAGAACATACACTGTCTGATTTCAATTTTGAAATCTGTTGAGACTTGTATTACAGGCCAGTATAATACAAAATACATACTAAAATAGTCAATTTTAGTAAATATTCCATTTTCACTTGCAAAGAATGAGTTTTCTGAAGTTCAAATCAAGTGTTAAAAGTACCATTCAAATCGTTAAATTTTTTTTGACTTTTTTGACTGCTTGTGCTATCAATAACTGGGAAGGCTGTGTTAAAATCACCCATTATGATTGTTGATTTGTCTTCTTTCCTTTTTAGTTCTATTTTTGCTTTATGTATTTTAAACCTAGGTACATACAATTTAGAATTCAATCTTGCTGGCAGATCAGCCCTCTTTATTCCTAGTGATGCATCTTACCTTCAAGTCAGTCATTTCGTCACACGTCACTGTGCCATCTGGCATCCTTCTGCTGTTTGTGTCTCATGTTCTTCCTTCCTTTTACTTTTAGTCTCTCTGTGCCCTTTATTTAGGTGTGTTTCTTGTAAAAAGATTAGGTAGGTTTAAAAAAATGCAGTCTGTTAATCTTTTACTCTCAATTGGAGTATTAATCTATTTATAGTTAATGTACTGATTATATAGTTGAATTTATGTCTATTTGCTATTTGTCCCACAAGATGTTCCTTTTTTCACCTTTCTTGCTTCATTTATTATTCCATCTTCCCCATCTATTATCTTGAGTTATATATTCTCTTAGTTGTATCCTAGATGTTCAAATGTGCATCCCTGAGTTATTAGACAGTAATACAAGCTAGGGACTCTAGAACATTTCATTCTATTTACCTCCCTCAAGCCTTTTGCACTGTTGTTGTCATTTGTTTTAATTCTACGTAAACTGAAACTCCACGAGACATTACTGTTGCAAACAGCTATTTATGTAGCATTCCCAGATACGTGCTGTTTCTGGGGCTCCTCAGTCTCTCCTGCGTTTCTACTCATCTGCCAGGGACCACACTCCTCCTGCCGCGAGAACTCCTTGAGTGTTCCTCTCGTGTGGGTCTGCTGGTAATGAATTTTCTCACTTTTTGTCTGGATATGTCTCTTATTTTGCCTTCGTTTTTGAAATAACTTTTTTCAGTGAGTATAGAGTTCTGTTTTGGCACTGATTTTCTTTCACATTTCCAGCTTCCACCATTTTTTGTTTAGTCAGCTGTCTGTCTTTTTGTTGTGCCCTTGAAGGTGAGGTATCTTCCCCACTCTCGGGGCTTTTAAGGTTTTTCCTTTGCTTTACTTTTTGGCAGTTGCTATGGACTGAACTGTGTCCCCTCACAATTCACGTGTTGGAGCCCTAACCTCCACTCTCACTGGACTGGAGACGGGGTGCCTCGTTATGGCTGCCCAAGCAGTCTAGGACGGCAGCTGTACTCTCAGAGGCCTAGGCGTGAGTTTCTTTGTATTTACTCTGCTTGGGTTTGTAGAAACTACTGACTCTGTGGCTTGACGTCTTTCATCAGTTTTGGGAAGTTCTTGGCCAATATGCACATCACTCCTGCCCAGGTCTTTCTCCCTCATTCTCTCTCTCCTCTCCTTCTGACAGCAGAACTCTACCTAATTTGGGGTCAGGGAAGGCCTCTGGGAGGAAATGAGATTTCTATTGAGACCTGAGGTCAGAATGGCCCGGGCACAGCTGTGAGGGGAGAGACTGAGACGGCATTTCAAATAGAGGTAATGATTTGTATCATAGCCCGGAGTGACAGAGAACCAGGCATATTTGAGGGACTTAAAAAAAAAAAAAGAGGAACATCTGCACAAGAGGCAGGAGTTACGCTGTGAGAAGACTGGAGAGGGCTTCGTAGGGTGTGTTACAAAGGCGGCATCTCACTTCATTACTGCTCAGCACTGTTACTTTATAAATGTTATTAAAAACAACTATGACCTTTTCCTTAAAGCCTCTTCCCTCCCTCCTTAAGAGGAGAATTGAGTAACATTAAATTTGATGGTCTTTCTCATCCCTGTGTAACACAAATTATTATTGCATGGTCATCTTCTCACCACATGAGGTCAAACAAAGCCTCCTGTGGACCAGGGACCAGTAACCCCAGTCCGTCCGCCCCAGGGGCAGGTGCTCCCTCTTCCCAGCGCAGCAGGCCTGGCAGAGCGGGAGCACAGTGCATGCTGACTAACAGAGAAGCCTTACTTCCCTGTGGCTGCTTTGGTGGACAGCTGACAGGCCACCGTCTCCCAGCAGTGAGTAACGCTTGAACCTGACTTGCAGGAGACACCAGACGCATCATAGAGCCAGCGACCTACAAACATGAGCTAGGGGTTATGGCGAAAACAGGAAAGAAGGAAACGAATGTAGAAGGCCTGGACTTTTCTTCAAGTCCCTCCAGAAGTGTCGTTCCTGCGGGGGAATGAGAAATATCTCTTGCGTACTACTGGAGAGACCTACTCAGGACACAGCTGAACACATTTTCTCAGTACCTCTGCCTCTAAAGTTAGTTATGCTACAGTCCTGGGTTCTAGAGTGAAACCAAACCTAACCTTTGCGCAAATTAGGATAAATAGACTTAGCAATTAAAAACAAAAACCTGGCTAGGTATCCACTTCCAAAGTGAAGTCGACCTACATTGAGAACTTCCTGTTAAGTGCCCAGGCCCCACATCCTTCAGAGCCCTCAGTCTCAATGACAGGAAGGGCCCTCCTGGGCAACAAGTGGAGTGCACAGAAGGAGACGGTGAGAAGACAGTTTGAGGAGTGTCACATCCTTCTCTCTGTAAAGGGGAGACATGGTTGCCTCAATCTCTGACGTCCCTTGTCACTCAGCCTGTTTCTTAGCCATGCTGTGCCTTGAAGCTGTCCTCCTGTGAAAGCGAAAGAGAAGCCCAGAAGGGCACAGAAGGGCAAAACCCTCCTAGTAAAAGCGGTTTCAGTGCCCTAGGGCTTAGCCTTACTTCTCCCATTTCTGCTTTTCCTGTGGGTTTTAGCCAGGTAGTTCCTTATTAACTTACCAGCTCTTTGGGACTTTTAAGAAGATATCTAAAAAATACTATATTGAACATTGTCTACTTTCAGTGGTGGTGGTGATGGGAGAGGGGTTGGTTCAAATAACCTAGTCTACCGTTACTGAAACAGAAGTCCTTATGATTCCATTTTCATGAATATTTTGCTTTTTATAGCCAAGGTAGCAATCAATGGAGGTTTCCAGAAACTCGAGAACTTAGATCTTGAGATCAATCACAAGATTACAGAGGAAGGATACAGAAACTTCTTTCAAGCCCTGGACAACCTACCACACTTGCAAGAATTGATTATTTCCAGGCACTTCACGGAATGTATCAAAGCTCAGGCCGTGACAGTCAAGGCTCTGAGTCAATGTGTGTCACGCCTGCCGAGCCTCACCAGACTGAGCATGTTAAGCTGGCTCCTGGATGCAGAGGACGTCGCACTGCTTACAGCCGTGAAAGAAAGACATCCTCAGTCTAAATACTTAATCATTCACTGGAAATGGGTACTGCCATTCTCTCCAATCATTCAGAAATAGAAGAGTTAGCTAAAAACTGCTGAATCAAGGAAATTTTTGTCAACAATTCTAAAAGTTTAATTACCCAAAAACATTTTATTAAATATTGCATACAAAATATTTATACAATGTGTAAGGCATGTAATAAAGAAACCAAACACTTTGCTTACACATCACTGAGCTTAAGGACTAGATTATTACCTGCACCTTTGAGTCCCTGAATAAGCAACTACAGATCAGTGCTTCAGTCAAGTTTCTACAGCTGACCCTCTGTTATCCGGGCTCGGCATCAGGTTTTCAGGGTAACTGTGGTGGAGAGTAATGGACAAGGCCTCAGGGAGTGGGTGGGGAGAGGCGCACTGATGTATCTTAAAGCCACAATGTGCAAGTATTCAAGTCATACATGGACCGGCTAACTTAAGGGCTGAATCAGTTCCACAGACGGTGAAATAAGAGCTCACCATAACACCGGGGGTCCAGATGATCTTTTCTGGACCAAGAGCTATTCCTTAATCCTTCTAGGGTCTGTTTTGTGTATTTAGTTAACTTCAGTATAGTCGAGTTTACTTACAGCTTCTCTTTATCCATTGCCAATGTAAAGAAATAGGATCTAGGGAAAAATGCTTTTATTCCAGAGGCTTTTGACTCATCACTTATTGTATAAGCAAAAAATACAGAGTAGAATTTAGCATTACTAGAGATTAGCTAAATTTGTGTTTTCCAGAATACTGAGTATCAATGCTTTTTTTTAGATAACCACGTGTTTGAGAGTTCAACATATGCATTTATAATGGTCTTGGAACTTTCGTATGAATCCAGTCTGCTCAGGGAGAACACAATTTGTCTGTTAGTGACTTCACGTTGTTCAAGGATTCTACATCTACATGTCAAGAATTGCTCCCCTACCAGTTAAGCAGCAGAGTCTTCTGAATGGCTAGAAGCCCATTCCAAACTCATGATGCTAGTATAGGCTGGAAAATAACCATTCTTTCTCCCTAAATTTTATTTTTACCAAGGAAAAAGTCAATACGTATATACGTATGGTACGATCCCATTTGTTTAAAAAATACACTCTCATGTCGCTAGTTGCATTAAGAATTTCTGGAAGTCTACACCAGCAAATGTTAACAGTGGCTAACTCTAGGAAGGCATTCTTTTACCTTCTCCCTTTTTATACTGCTTTTTGTTTTACAAGTGCCTGTGTTATTTTTACACTTAAAATACAAAACTAGTTCAGCATTTATAGCATCAGCAGGGGCTGCCTCTGGAGGGGGAGAGTACCAGAAGGGGAGATGGGTTATCACCTGGCTTGTCTGATTTTACATCTAATACTTTTGTAATCAAAAAAGTTTTAAGTATTAGAGTCCAATCAGGAGACAGAAACCATAGTAATTTGAATGGGGAATGTTTACTATAGACTTAACTGTTAACGGGACTGGAGTAATGGGGATGGGGTAAGTAAGTGAGGAGTTAGGAGAGCTCTAAGTGGAGGCAGAGAACAGCCTGCAGGCTTTTCACCCTAGGCTGAGACAGCAGCCAAAGGAGGAACCCCAGGGCTGAGATCCAGACCACGATGGAGAGGGTACAGTGTGAACCACAGAGAGATTTGCTGAGGCCTCAGAGTTGCAGCCCAAGGAGGTGAGAGCGTGGGGGTGCCCCGTGCTACTGGCCCCTGGGTCCTGCTAAAGCCAGGCACTGCACAAGGTGTGCCCAGTTGGAGTGGGGGCTGCAGGGCTCTGCTGGAGGGTCACCTGGAACCAAGAAAAGCCGCCCTTGCTCCTCCGGTGTCTCACAGCACCCTCTACCGACAAAGCTTTCCACTGTGCCTGCTGACAGGGAGAAGGTACTTACAAGGCCCAGACCCATTACTGCAGAGTTGGCGTTGAAGGCTGGATTTGGACAGGACAGGCTATAACTTGATAACTGGTACAAGTATTACATATTACATTTAATAGTTCAGACCTAAACAAAAAAGGACCCTAGTTAAATTTCTTCAGATTGATAGGACATATGCACGTGCATGTTTATACAGCCACAGGAAATTTCTTAAATGTCATGCAGGAAACTGGTAATGACGACTGACTTCAGGGAGGGGTCCAGGATAGCTAGTGAGCAGAGGAGGGAGGGGTTTGCCTTTTTTTCCCTGCATATCCTCGTGTACCATCTGAATTCTGTCCAATGTGCACATACTATTAAAAATGATACTTTAAAAACTAACTCCACGCAGATTATTCGTCCAGAGCATCATCTCAGGGCTTCGAGTATAAAGCAGGGGCATCAAAGTACAGCCACAGCGTGTACAGCCTATGAGCTGGGAATGGTTTTTACATTTTTAAAGGTTTAAAAAAATATATGCAACAGAGACCATCAGTGGCCCACAAAGCTAAAATAATTTACTCTGGCCCTTTACAAAGATGGATTATTTCCATGACGAAGTACTTTTGGGTCGTAAGATCTCCATGCCCTTCATCCCAGGAGCCGTTCAGTCTCCACAGGACCCAGGTCACCCTCACTGCCCTGGTGCTCCCCCTTATGTTTCTAAACTTCCCCTTTCTGATCACATACCCCACTCGTGCCAACTCCCTAAATCCTGCCACTGTGCCCACAGGAGTAACATCTCCTATATCCTCAACCTCTTTTCTCAATGTTCCCTGAACTTTCTTGTTTTTTTACCATAACCCACAGTAAGAAATAAATTTTACATAAAAAATTTACACACACACTTAAATACATGTACACAACTAAGATTCACAAAAAACTTTCTAAAACAAAGCTATACCAAATGTGACTTTACTAATACCAAATGTAACAAAAATTCAGAATACTAAATTCCTTGAAAGAGTTGTTCACATGTGCCATCTTCAACTGTTCTCTTTCCTGTATCCTCTCCCAGCAGATTTTCAGCTCCCCCATTCCACCAAGACAGCTTGTCTGAGGGTCACCAACGATCTCCACATTGCTAACGCAGTGACTGCTTCTCAACGCTCCTCCTGTCAGCAGCATCTGACCTGCAGCTAGCTCTCACTTGGCCCATCACCCTCCTCAGAACACTTGCTTCAAGTGGCCTCCAGGCATCCCTCCTAGGTCTCCTCCCCCCTACCTGGGAGCCCTCCCTGTCTCCTTTACTGCTTCTCCTCCTATCTCTAAACACCCGGAGTGCCCCAAGGTTCTCTGATAGCTCTACTTAAATGCACTTCCTCAGCTATCTCATCCTGTTGAATGGCTCCACGTTTACACTAACGTCTGAATTTTCATCTCTAGCCCAGACCTCCCTGAACTCTTTACTCATGTCAAACTCCTATTAATAGGTATCTCAAATTTCACGTCCAAACCAAACTGCTATCCATCTTTTCCACAAAAGTACTCTGCGTGCAGACTTCTCCATCTCATTACTTCATTCTTCCACTTGCTTAGGCCAAAAACCTTGGGAGTCATCCTTGACTCTTCTCTTTCATACTCCACATGTAATCTACTGGCAAATCCTGAGCTCCACTTGCAAAATACACTCAGATCCATCACACTACCCGTTGGACCCAACTCGTTGACCTGCTTTCACCCTTGAAACTTATGGTCTATTTTCAACATAGCAGTCAGAAGGCTCTTTTAAGACTCTTTTTATAAACCAGATCGTGCTACACCTTTGGTTCAAAACTTCAATGGATTCCCAGCTCAAAGTAAATGCTGAAGACCTTACAATGGCATACATATGACCTAACCCCTGGCTGTCTCTCTCACCTTCATCTCTGCTCTCTCCTTCCTGCTCACTTCTACTCCAGCCATGCTGGTTTCTTTGCTGTTCCCTGAACATGCTAAACATGCTCTTGTCTCAGGGCCTTTGCATCTGTCATTTCCTTTGCGTGGGAGGTTCTCCCTCTACTTCCGTGAATGGCTCTCGTTTCCTTCAGATCTCTGCTTAAATGTCACCACGGTGAGGAGTTCCCTGACCACTCTTTTTTAAAAAGCATCCCCAATTCCAATCCCACTGTGCACAACTCCTGTCCCTGCCTCACTTCTCTCCACAGCACGCATCACTGGCTGCTGCCTTGTGAATGTCACTTATTTCCGGCTGGTTCCCACCACTGTGCACAGGACTTGCATCTGTTTTGTTCACTGCTGTCTCCCAAGCCCCCAGAAGAGTGCCTAGCACATGGACAAAGTTGAACAAATATTTGCTGACATGAACGACTTTCCTGAACCTACAACCACTCTCCAACTGTATTAGGTATTAAAGGAGGTAACATCTGAAAGTATCTTAGAAAGGAAATAAGCTACCTTCCTAACTAAATTTAACTTGGCACATATTTAGGCAATTAAAATATGCCGACTGTAGAAACTATTGGCTCACTGTCATGAAAAACGACAAAACTCCACTCACCCTATACAAGAAAGCTTAAGCCATAGAAAATTCCCTTCTGCTAAGCTTACTTATCAGGCATTGAATATTCATTTATTCAACAAACATGTACTGGGAAGTTACTAATATTACAGGCACAGTGAGTGTGCCCAGGCAAAACCTCTGAAGAAAGAGCACTTGTCATGTTAGCCTCTTCTCCCGCAGCTAAAGGACAAGAGAATCCCAGGTGCGTGGACACCCCTCCTTAGACTAAACTCAAACAGTGGGAATTTCTACCTCTCCCGAGAATGTGAACTGAGAGACACAGAGACAGTCCAATGGAACTGAGGTAGTGACGAGGCGAGAATGGCGCGGGCAAGCACGTGAGGCAGTGTGCATGACGAGGAAGTGGGGAGGCCAGGAGACAGAGGCCGACAGACAAGAGGAGGTGCAGGGAGGAGGACAGTACGACCTCCGAGAAACACAACACAGCCTTGGGTCCTGACTGGCCAGGTCCAGTCCTTGCGACCTGCAGCTTCCGTGAGGCTTGGTTCCCTAACCTTGTCCTCACCAAAGCGTTATACAATCAGTTGCATCTTCACAATGCTACCCCTTCACCCAGGTAAGTCTGAGGAGTTTTCTCTCTACATCTTTAGAAAGACTCCACCTCACCACATATATTCCAAAGAAAAATATTCAGACAGTCAAAGTTAAAAAGCAATTATCATTTATTTTTAAAAGCATTAATATAAAGCTTAACATACTAAGAAAGTTACAGTATACAAATGTGCTCAGTCGTGATTTTGACAGCTTCATTTTTCTGCACCATATGGGACTTTGAGTTTCCTTTAATCACTCACATTTACGTTGTTCAGTTATTCAAACTGATCACTCCCTTGAAACACCTGGCACAAGGGACATGCAACAAGGGGGAAATGCAGACGATTGTGCCACCTAACCAAGCGTTCATGAAGAAAATGATGAAACCTTTGTTCACACCAACCAGGGCACATCAAAATACCATTCTCCTTGGGAGAGAGGTGCACCTGAATTTGAAAGAAAAAAGAATAGATACAATTATGAAATTTAAAAACCTATTTTCCTATAAAATCTTAAAGAAAGAAGAGAGAGAATGGAAGCAATACACTTATCATGGTAAATAAAACCAGAATAAAAATATGCTAAATAAAGACAATGTAATACTAATTTCAATCTTTATGGGATACTTAAATAATTAGACAAACTGTGAAATTCATTTAGAAGAGTAAATGAGCAAGAATATTTAAAGAAAATTTTTAGATAGCACTGGTATTTGATCTGTCCTAACAGAATTTAAAATTAATTACAAAAGAATGATCAAAATCATGTGTTAAAAAAAGAACAGTTATTAGAACAATACAAACAACATTCTCCAACTATAATATAATAAAATTAGAAATTAAACCTAACTACCTAGAAATTAAAAGTTATTAAACATTTCTAGAGTTGAAAACAAAATTCAAAATTTTGGAGTATCTAGAAAACGATAAGAATTCTACATAATAGAATCTACAGAATACAACTACAGCACTGTTCAGAGGAAAATTTATGGTCCTAAAACATCCATTTTAATAAATAGGTAAAGAATTAAAAAAAAAAAACATAAGGAAAGCAGAAACAGGATATTAACCCCTGTATAACATTTGAGTCCACTGGACCCAATTTTAGGTTTTCTTTGAGTTTCAATTTGGCCAAGATTTATTAAAATTATAAATGCATGCCCTCTTCAATCCAGCAGTTCTGATTCTAGAATCTAATTCTAGATTAGAATTCTAGATTCTATTTAGACAATCCTAAAGATGTATTCATACATCTACAAAAGAATTATGTAAAAGGGTACTGACTGTAGTAGTACACAGCAAACAACTGGAAACAACCTAAACTTCCATCCATAAGAACTCAAATTTAAGTATGGTACATATCTACATATAAAAATATCCTGCAACTGTTTAAAACAAGATAGTTTTATATACTGATATGGAATGTTCTCCAGAAATACGGAGCGGGGCCGGCCCAGTGGCTTAGCGGTTAAGTGCTCGCGCTCCGCTACTGGGGGCCCGGGTTCGGAACCCAGGCAACCACCGACGCACCGCTTCTCTGGCCATGCTGAGGCCGCGTCCCACATACAGCAACTAGAAGGATGTGCAACTATGACATATAACTATCTACTGGGGCTTTGGGGAAAAAAAAGGAGGAGGATTGACAATAGACGTTAGCTCAAAGCCGGTCTTCCTCAGCAAAAAGAGGATTAGCATGGATGTTAGCTCAGGGCTGATCTCCCTCAAAAAAAAAAAAAAGAAATACTTAGGAAAAAGCACTTACCTATTAAAGAACACTGCACGAATTACCTACAAAAATGAAGATTAAAAAAGTTTAAAGGAGTAATGATGATAGACACATCTCGCCAGATTTATTTTAATTACACATTATTTATTTTTTATTATCAATAAATGTACACAGCACAAAAATAGAAAAAACACAGAAGGGGTATAGTGTGAAGTCTCCACTCCATGCCTGCCCTTCAGTCCCTCTTGAGAGGTAACCCAAGGATCACCCTGAGATGATGATAATGCACACACACACACGGATGTAAATATACATTTACACTAATGGCAGGGAGCATAATACACTCAGTTCTGCATCTTACTTTTTTCACTTAAATATATCTTCCTATCAGATTGCTAAACATAACAAGCAACAATGTAGTTTTTAAAAAAACAAAAAAGAATTAAAAGAATAAACTGAATAATGTTCAAAAATAGATTCAAACTATTTGAGAACTTTTATTTTACAAATAAGAATAACAGTGGATAAAGAAATAACTTTTAAATAGACTATACCAAGTAGAAACTCTAACAATTAAGTAAGCATGAAGAATGAGGGCATTATTAACTAGTTTATTCTTTTGGGGAAGCAATGTGACAACATACAATGACCCACAGAACTATTTAGAATCTGAGGCCCAATATATGAAGTTAATCATCAACACACCAAAATAATTCTATGGAACTATGTTAAACAGAAAAGCCCAAAATAGATTTGTTATTGCCACGTAGAAATCTATATCAATAATTCCAAATTTGACATATTAATCTTATGTACTTGAGAGGTATGGAGTGTAACACCATTGGTTAGTACATTTTGTTTTAACCACCACAATAGATTAATCTTTCAGGAAATATGCAACAACCGAAAATTAATTGTTCCAAAACGGGAAAGGTGATGCAATGAATTGTGTCATCAAACCAAGTATTCAAGAAGAAAATGATGAAACGTTTAAAAACAGGAGGAACAGCTACTAGTGTACTTGTTTTCCTGCCACAGATGATGCAATCTGACACAGTGCCCAACGTTAACGGTTTTCAGGCACTGGCCACAGACAGCGCAGGGCTGAGATCCCTGAGAAAGGGAAACAGGCGAGGCGAGCTTCCATCCACCCCTTCCTGGCTGGCCACAGTGCCCACACTGCAGAATGGAAGGCGGAGCCTGAGCAGAAAGTACTGCTCTTGCTGAGTGGAAGAACCGAGGTCAGAGTTTGCGCCCTAGAATAAGGCAGCTGGAATTTGAAGATGTAGGGCCTAGAGAGGAGGGACATGAAGAGAAGGAGCTCCAGAAACGTGTGTAGAATTTCCACTGGGTCCTTGCCCACATCCTCAAGTATGCACATGGAGGACAGGACTCCCTGGAGCCTGAGAGCCGGAGAGAGGGTTCTGAGGTCACACAGAGTGCACCATCTACTATGTGGTCCAAGGCAGTCCTTTCACCTATGAGTCTGCTTTTGCGTCTGCAAGATGGGAATAATAATAGTATCTAACTCGATGGTGCTATAAAGATTAAATGAAGTAACTATGCCTAGCACACACGGTAATCACTTGAAAAATACAGCTATTATTATTACTTAGAAAGGAAAGATAAATTTCATGTGACAGTTTCTAGTTTCTTTTAAAATAGAAACCTGAGGCCTGCCCCATGGCCTAGTGGTTAAGTTTGGTGCACTCTGCTTCGGCAGCCCAGGTTCACAGGTTCGGATCCCAGGCTCGGACCTACACCACTCGTCAGACAAGCTGTGGTGGCGTCCCACAAACAAAATAGAGAAAGACTGGCACAGATGTTAGCTCAGGGCTAATCCTCCTCAAGCGAAAACATAAAAAATAAAAACCCAAACTAACACATACCTAAGGGTCTACTGAAACCAAGTTCTATAAAATAAGATTTTATTTACTTTTAAGTAGAAGTCTTTACCTATACACAAAGACTCTTTAATGCTCAAGTACACTGCTTCACATCTGTCTTCTTCTGCCTGGAAACCAAGAACTGAATTTTATTTTTAATATTTTTATTTTAATATTTCAGTAATTTAATATTTTTTAAATATTTTAATATTTTTAATATTATTTTATTACAAAAATTTTATTTAAAGTAGAATATAGCTCAACTCTAAATTATATGGATTTTAAAATGTAAAAGGTCAATTTATATGTCACAATAACTAGTAACAAAAGGATCAGAACTTCAAAGCTCTGAAATTAGTTTCTCCAAAAGCTTCTCCAACTATATTACTTGATATCTTCAAAATATATTATATATATTATCTCAGAGCTGAACTCACAAGTAATTCTAAGTTAAAAACAATCCTGTGCAAAAGAGTACATGCTGTATGATTCCATTATGCGAAGTTCTAAAATAGGTAAAACTGATCTGTGCTCACAGAGGTCAGGGATGGTAAGCGTGCGAACAACGGCACACCTTGTCAAAACTGATCAAACTCTTCACTTCAAATCTCTACATTTTACTGCACATAAATTATACCTCACAAAAAGCACTGGGGAAAAAAATGGAAGCTGTGTACAAATGTTCTTGAATCCTCTGCAAAGGCCACAATTCATATATAATGATGACCATGTGCCAAGTGCTTAGTGAGATAACTGAACACTGAGTGTCTTCTATGGACTGCAACTGTATATGAAACACGAACTTCCCCAGAAGCAGGGGCTGCTCTTGTTCAACTTTCAGAATTTATTTCTGAATTAAAGTCATTCATTGTTTTCCCATTCACCCAGACAGAGCTTCAAACAATACATGACTTAAGTTCATCACTATTAAAAACCACCGACCCTGTAGTTTATTTCTGTTAATGGCAACCACACAGAAAAGCTAAACTTACAAGAGGACTGAGACCAAGGAATCTCTGGCTGATCCCTTAGTGAAGCCACTCTTCGAATACGGCCTCTCACTTTCTGTTTGTCTCTCTTCTGAGCGTACATTCTGCCGTGGCTGAGGAACAGACCACGGAATTTCCCATCTAGGATTCCTCACAACCACGAGGACAATCACTCCTGTGAAGGCCGGAAAACCAGCCCCGTTGTAACTTTATTACTAGGGTTAGTCTAGACACACAGCGTGGTGGCTGTGCTGTGTTCTGTCTGTACTCAAGGGGCAGGCTGCTTCACTGTTCAGCATTTAAGGCAAGGTAAATAGTGCCTAAAAATAACCCTAGGTCAAACACCATTACAGTTAACTTTCAAAACCAGTCACGTAACGCAGGATTTGTTATAAGAAAAGTCTTCCTTAAAACTGCAAGAAATAGAACTGATGCCTAACCTTTCATCATGGGTGAAAGAAGTGATCTGAAAACAACTCTGAAATCTCTCTCCCATTCACCATTTCTCTCCTTTGACACTCCCTCCAGTCTATGCTCTAAGCCCATTCCAGACTTCAAAAAACTGCAGATCCTGCAGACCTGATGAAGAACAAGACAGAGTGCCTTGTCTCTCACGACAGAGGAAAGACACACAGTAAACAACAAAGATACTATCATGTGAAAAGCTATGGAATAGAAATAAGTCGAGAGCAGATTCAAAGAGGGGAAATTATAGGGACGGGGCGGGGGTTGAGAGGGCTGGCATGGGAACAGTGACGTGACATATTGAGAGCTACCTTAGGTCTCCAAACACTGCCCCGGTGCTTCCGGCTTTGTGCCCTCTCCGCCTGGAACACTAACCCATTTCATCCCCTGCCTCATTTTTCTATTCCCCTTTTTAGACTTGGCTGAATAACTAGCTGAAGAACTTCAAGTAAACAAAAATGACTTTAATCAAAGAATGAAATATGAATCATTACATTTTTAAATGTGATGATTTATATAATTTTAAAAATACCCCTCCCAGGAATGAATCTCCCCTTTTGAAAATCAAAAAGAAAATGTTTTTCAAAATTTGCTTTTCAAGGCAACATGGAAACATCTACCAAGAATCATAACGTCCACACTCTTTTACCAAATAGTCACAACACAGAAACTTATCCTAAGGCTATGACAGAAATGACAGAATAGAATCAAATTACTATATATAAGAAGGTTATTTACTATAGCATTATCCAGAATGCCAAAACCTACTGAACTAAAGTAATAGTGGCATAACACGCAGGCAAACAGTCTGACAGAAAGAATATGTGAAAACATTAAAAATATGATGTTAAGTGGGGATACACACACACACACACACACACACACACACACACACACTCCATATCAAAATATAGATGAATATGGACCAAAAGTGTAAAATAATATGTGAAAAAGGAAAACAATGATAGACACACAGCTTTTACTAATTCAGTTTTAAAATACTGAACATTTTTCTTATGTACTTTTCAAACACACAGAAAATAGAATAGTTCAATGACTATCCATGCGCATATCGCTTAGATTCAATAATAACCATATATGCTTCATGCACACACACATATACATTCTGCTAAATCATTTAAAAATATATTAAGAGACATAACACTTCACCTCTAAATACTTCAGTATGCAAATTTAAAAAGACATTCTTCTATAAACTACAACACCCTTATCACAGCTCATAAAATGAGCAATAATTATCTAATATCACTTGAAATCCATTCCATATTCAACTTTCCTCAACCCTCAAGTCTTTTACAGATGGCTTTCAAAACAGGGTCCAGTCAAGGATGCCACATGGCATTCGTCTGTTATGTCTCTTAAGTCACTTTTAATCTAGAATAGTTACCCATTCCACGCCATTTTTTTCTTTCATGACACTGACTTTTTGAAGAAAGAGGGCCAGTTATCTTCTATGACATTCCACATTCTGGAACTGTCTGATCATTTCTTTTCTGTCGTCATTTAACTTGTTGCTCTATCTCCAGGATTTCCAGTAAATGGGAAAGCAGATCTTAAAGGTCTGATAAATTCCAGTTGAACTGTTTTGACCAGAACCTTTCACAGGTAACACAGTGTGTTTCATAAGGCATCACACATTCAAAGGCAGTCTGGCTGCCTGACTACGGATGCAGCTTCTTCACTGAGTCTAGGGACCTCTCTATTGTGAAGAAATGTTTCTCTTTCCACACCACCAACAAACCAGTGTTTGCTGAGACAGCACTTTGACATCATGAGGATTCTAGAGAGGATGTAGATCAAGCTATTATCAAATAGTTTGGGCATCAAAATGTCTTTAATATTGTTTTACGTTAACTTTTCAACACTTTAATTTTTAAACATGTTTTCCACAAACTATACAATTTATACACAAGTAAGATTCACTTTTATAATGATGGCAGACTTACTCCTTAATTGAAGTGTGAGCACCTTCCTTCTTTTTGATTTTGTTTGAAACCCTGTAAAGAAAATAGATGAATTTAAACGAATAGCATACACATCTTACATAGGTGTGAATAAACATTTTGTTTCACATAAGACATTTTACTAATTCTATTTAACAAAACATCATCAGAAAATAAGTTTACAGCTTTCCAATGTACTTTAAAAGTGATCTCAAAGTAAACAATTATTAGGCTGCAATTAAGAAATTTTCTTCTGGGCCAACCCTGATGGCCTAGTGGTTAAGTTCAGTGAGCTCCACTTTGGCGGCCTGGGTTCGGTTCCTGGGCGTGGACCTACAGCACTCATCTGTCAGTGGCCATGCTGTGGCAGTGGCTCACATACAAAAACAGGAAGATTGGCAACAGATGTCAGCTCAGGGCGAATCTTCCTTAGGAAAAAAAAAAAAATTTCTTCTTTCACTAAGTCCAATGATGTTCCTGAGCCGACTTATACCTTATTTCCATCAAATAAAATATACGATGTGTCATGCTCATTTATTAAAATAAAACCACTAAAGACCAGTACTCACTAAACAAAAACATTTTTTTTTTTTTTTTTTTTGGTGAGGAAGACCAGCCCTGAGCTAACATCCGATGCCAATCCTCCTCTTTTTTGCTGAGGAAGACTGGCCCTGGGCTAACATCCATGCCCATCCTCCTCTACTTTTATATGGGATGCCACCACAGCATGGCTTAACAAGCGGTGCATCGGTGCACACCCGGGATCCGAACCAGCGAACCCCCGGCCACCGCAGCAGAGCACGTGCACTTAACCACTTGTGCCATCGGGTCGGCCCAAACAAAAACATTTTTTTTTAAATTTTTAATTTTTTCTGAGGAAGATCGGCCCTGACCTAACATCTGTTACTAATCTTCTGCCTTTTTTTGCTGAGGAAGATTAGCCCTGAGCTAAGATCTGTGCCCATCTTCCTCTATTTTCTATATGGGATGCCACCACAGCATGGCTTGATGAGTGGTGCGTAGGTTCCTGCCCGGAATCCGAACCTGCGAACCCCAGGCCACTGAAGCGCAGTGCTCGAACTTAACCACTGCGCCACCAGGCCAGCCCTTAAACAAAAACATTTTAGACTTTTTTTTTTCTTAAAGATCAATACTCAAATATTTGTTTTTCCTAGTCAGACCTAGCCCAAATGTCCTATTCCTCTCTTCTGGCCTCAATGCCTCTATCTTCCCTACACATATACTAGCTTTCCACTTCACTACTAATCTATACCTTAGGGGTCATAAGATGTACTAAAAGTTATTTGTTACTAATAAATACCAAAGTTATGGCCTATTTTACGTGATTTCAATCACATTACTCTTAGTTGTTCACATTCTGCCTGGATCTCTAGAAGGAGAAAGAGGCAGAGGTTAGAGCTGTATCCAAATCCCGTCTGGCTGCTCGTATGGGAACAGGCTGGTAATGGAAAAGTGGTCAATCACACGTGCTTCGTGGAGCAATGGTGTCTAAAACATACTGAAGCTGCTGGGAAACTTGATAAGGAGTAGTGGCTTTTTTTTTTTTTTTGGTGAGGAAGATCAGCCCTGAGCTAACATCTGTGCCCATCTTCCTCTATTTTGTATAAGGAATGCTGCCACAGAATGGCTTGATGAGCAGGGGTGGTAGGTCTGTGCCTGGGATCTGAACCTGCAAACCCCAGGCTGCTGAAGTGGAGCGTGCGAACTTAACCACTACGCCACTGGGCTGGCCCCACTGGCTTCTTCTTTTTAATGGTAAAAATTTCAGAGAGACAAAAATGCAAGATCTAGGAATTTACACTTCTGAATAAAACATATGTTTATATTTTAATTTATGCGGATATACAAATAATATCCCTAAAACTAAAGATCATTTTTCTGGAACAAATTAGTCATAGGTTTGCCCTGAGTTTGTGGCAAATATTCTGGACAAGGCTGCTTTCCCAAGAATTGCTGCTTGCACTCAGAAACAGAAACATCTGCACTTTGTTGGTCAGGACCAGAGGTGAAAGTCCACCGAAAACCTGTGAAGTTTTAATAACACAGTACAATAGAGTACATGAAACAGGAATGCTTATAAGTACAATTTGACTAACTAATTTTCATCAATGTCACCCTTCAAATCAAAAGGATTCTAACACATCAGTCATTCATATTTTTTAACTGTTGCTAGAGCTATCAAAGTAGAAAGCAATAAGATCCATAACTATTTCAGGCTATGGTAAAACAGACATTTTCAAGCTGCACTGGTGGCAATACACATGGAAATAAGAATTGTGGAAAGCCAGTCAAGCAGCACCAACAGCTGTTGAAATGTTTCTACTTTTTGACTCGATAATGGTACATCCAGATATCATAAGAAAATAATCTACAAGAAGCTATATATAAAAATGGTTATCTAATTATCAGAGGAAAAACTTGCTAGTGTTCAACATTCAGCAAACTACGAACATATTCTGAATTAGATTTATCATGACCAGGCACTATTCCAGATGCTAGAGATCCAAGAGTTACAACACAGACAAGGTCTATTCTAACATTGATTGTAATGATGGCTACATAACTGTGAATATACTAAAAACCAAACCCATTAACTTGTATACTTTAAAAGGGTCAATTTTATACCATGTAAATTATATCTCAATAAATTAATAAATTAATAAATATATTAAAAAATATATTCATAGCAACACTAGTTTTAATAGCTCAAAATTGGAAACAACCCAAATGTCCACCGATGGTTAAAACAAAGATTACAGTATATTCACACAATGAAGTGCAATACAGGTACAACTACACACAACAATGTAGATTAATCTCACAGAGTGTTGAGCAAAAAACGCCAGTCACAAAGGAGTATATTGTGTGAATCTATTAACAAAAGTTCAAAAAAGGGCAAAACCAATCCATGAGGTTAGAAGTCAGGAAAATGACTACCCTTGGGAAAGGGATTGGTAATGACTGGAAGGAGACATAAGGCGGCTTTGGGATTGTGATAATGTTCTTTTTCTTGATATTGCTGATTACACACATGTGATTGTGAAAATTCATCAAGCCATTCACTTATAGTATGTGCACTTTTCTGCACGCATAGTTCAATAAAAAGTTTACACTAACAACAACCAAACAGAACCATGAACCTATGCATAATATGAACCCAGAAGTAAGTCAAAATACAGTGCATCTGGATAACAGAGCTATGGATGAATCCCCACCCCCTGCATCTTTCCCTGTCTAAAAAATTTTAAAATAAACATAAATCATGTCAATACTCTATATGTACTTTATATACATTATTTTTCAAAATATTTCATAATTTAAAAAAAATGCAGAGAAATCTGAAGTATAGAAGAACGAATCTTAGGAAGTTAGTCCGATGACTGGTCTCAAAACAAATTACAATTGTTAATTTGTTACTTTTCATCATCTTTTTTGGTGATTAAAAGGGGAACTTCACCAAATGGTACAAACATACCACGGTTATACAACAGCTGAAGAGTAGCTTTTAAATAAGAATGTTAATGGGGGCATGTACAGATTGATACATTTAAAAAACTACACCTTCAAGTCAGTTGTTTATTTTCCTCTACATATTAATTAACTGAAAATTCAAGTGCGTACAATACCACGTCATAATCTTAGCACAGCATAAGTTTCCTTTTTTAAAAATCTAAAATTTTCCTGCTAAATTACAATAGAACATGTCTGCAACAGACTGATGTAAAAATGACAAGTTTGAAGCCTCAGTTCCTAAAGTCCAGTTTGGCATTATCACCCTAGACCTTTCTCTATGCACACAAAAAAAACCTAATTTTTTGGTCTTTCTTTTATCTTTTCTCAAAGTATTATCCTTTCTTCTTCCATCTCCTGCAATCCATTTTATTTCAAATCAAAACAAAGATAATGAGATTGAAAAATAATTTAGAAAGAATGTCACTAAATTAGAAAATGTATAATCAAAATAATCTAATAGCAAAGATTTTTAAATGCACTACAATTACACTTAGCGGGGACAATAGAAATTTAAGCCTTAGAAAGTTGTATTTTTTAAACTTTAAGGTAGTTTTCAACTCTTAGGATCCATCTAACATAACAAACTGCTTTTCAGTCACAAACAAAACAAAGTTACATAACCACGAAGTGACTGTCGGGAAAAGAAGCTGAGTGATCACTTACCATATAGTAACCAGTATGATAGCCACTCATGTACCAAGAGATTAGCATACTTCCCAAAGCATCAGCATCATCAAGAGAATCTGGACATATGGGAGGTGGGGGTGGAATTATCTGGAAATGGAGAAAAATATACTTGAAAGTCAGTAAACAAAAATGTGAGGTCTGGAGGTCCATTTTACGTCGAGAATGCTAGATGTTAAGTTATCTTTCCCTACATTCCATGTTATCTCCTATTTAAAATTTTTAAAAACCTGACATCTGGAGAAGACCAACCAATAACAACAACAAAAGACGAACAAAATTAAATTGAACAAGAATCAAAAGACAAGCAGTCACATAAGATGTTTAAACATTTTGCTTTGACTAAAACTGTTGTTCTACTGCATTAAGAAGCTACGAGGAAAAGATGCAGCATAAACACTTCCATGGTTTTCCTCAGGAGACGCCTACACCACACTCCAAGCAACGGTCCTGGGCCACACATCTGCGCTGCTCCCATCCCAACACAGTTTACCAGGAGGTGTCTTTGTAGCTACCTACTGTTGATATTTAAAAGTCTACCACCAGGGCCGGCCCCGTGGCTTAGTGGGTAAGTGCGCGCGCTCCACTACTGGCGGCCCAGGTTAGGATCCCGGGCGCGCACCAACGCACCGCTTCTCCGGCCATGCTGAGGCCGTGTCCCACGTACAGCAACTAGAAGGATGTGCAGCTATGACATACAACTATCTACTGGGGCTTTGGGGGAAAAAAGGAGGAGGATTGGCAATAGATGTTAGCTCAGAGCCGGTCTTCCTCAGCAAAAAGAGGAGGATTAGCATGGATGTTAGCTCAGGGCTGATCTTCCTCACACACACACACAAAAAAAGTCTACCATCAGACACCAGGATAGTCTACGTGATCCGCAGGTAACATGCAAGCATATCTGAAAGGGCAAAATATTAATCCTCATGTACAGTGTGATTCAGTCCTTTTAAATAGGAGCTACCTCCCTATTGAATGAAATACAACCTCTGCCAGGAAGGCAGCAGGCAATATAGGGCTCAGAGTTGGGGCCATAAGAGGACTGAGTGTGGGTAGCAGAAGGCACTAAAAACAAAAAACCTCAGGTTTAGTTCAAATGTTTACCCATTACAACCTGGCCCTAGGGATGGTCTAAAATGACCCTTCCTAATTACCTATGGTCTGCTAATCCCAACTGCATATGAAAGCAAAGTTGAATCTGAATTCTTTTGTACTTACTGGTGGTCCAGAAGGAAAGGGAGGCAGCCAGCAGGAGAGGAAGGGTGGTGGTGGTGGTGGCGGTGGTGGGCCATTGAATTTTAGACCTGGCTGTAAAGAATATTTCAAAGAAAGACTAATTTATCAATTTAAATATGAAAGAAGGAAAAAAGATTCAATGCCAAAAAGAATCAAAATAATTGTCCAGAATACTATCTATATTATACATATCAAAAAGATTAAATAGAATTTCATGTACCAAATGCTCAAGTCAAATAGACTCATAAATCTAGATTTTTCTCATTTCCTTTTTATATAAAAACATTCAGGGAGTAAAACCAAAGTAAGAAAGATTTTTAATTACCTAATAAGTCAGAGACAATATGTTTAGCACGATATTTTAATTGTAGAAGACTATATGCCCCACAATTTCGTTAACTAAATCGTATAATCTTTTTTTTTTTTTTTTTTGGTGAGGAAGATTGGCCCTGAGCTAACATCTGTTGCCAATCTTCCTCTTTTTGCTTGAGGAAGATTGTCCCTGAGCTAACATCTGTGCCCATCTTCCTCTATTTTGTATGTGGGATGCTACCACAGCATGGCTTGATGAGTGGTGTGTAGGTCTGCGCCCAGGATTTGAAGCCGTGAACCCTGGGCCGCCAAAGGGGAGCACTTGAACATAACCACTACGCCACTGGGCCAACCCCTGTACAATCTTTTTATGGACGTCCTTTTAGTTACACATGCTAACTTAGAGCATACTTTGTAAAAATTAGTAAACCTCTCACTTCAGAAAAATCAGCCCCCTGAGACCAAAAAAGCAATTGATATATATAAATTAAGAAGTTTGATCATTCTAGTAACAATAATATAATCTTAAGGAAAAGTTTTGATGAACCTTAATAAGTCATGCTTGATTTTTTTAATTTTTAAAATTATTAGTGCCTGAATACCACAACTTCCAGTGAAGAAATCGTTGCTTTATACAAACAACTGGACAGGGACATACCTACTTGGGTTCCATCACATAACCTAAAATAAAAATCTCTCATATTTAAGTTGATATGTTATTTATAACCAAAAGAACCATAAATGAAAACAAAATTTACATTTTATTCTACAAAACCATCTGGTAGCTCCTTAGGATTTTATCTGTATTAGATGTAAATACTGTGTTCTCTTCCAATTTTTCAGTATCTTACACAAGATATGCGGAACTTACTCCCCATCTTACACACATAGGGAACTAGAGCAGAACACTCAGCTGATGATAAAGCACCGTTACCCCCTTTAACTTGAGATCACTAAATTATTAGTCTAATATGTAATATGACAACGCCATAAAAGTAGTTGGAAAAGTCTTTCATTATAAACTATTCTGCATTACTTTTCCTTTTCAAAGGATTATTTCCCTTTCAAAGAATTCTCAAGTGTGTCTTTGTAACATCTAAAGAAAGCTACACAAGTTTCATGGGAAAAGCTACAATTCACTTAATGGAGGGGTTGAATGTTGCAATATTATTAACTATCTCCTGGGAAACTGTTTCTGGGTAGAAGTTTACCTTTCCTGGTCCCAGTCCTGCTGGCATGGGCGGTGGTGGAGGGAGAAAAGAGTTCCATGGAGCAGCTTTTGATTTGATGTTATTTGGTTTATTTCCAGGAGACCTGGAGTTGTTCTCACTTTCATCTGTTGAAATTTGACTTTCACTTTCATTCTTTAAAAAGAAAAAATATGTGTATTTTTGTAATAAAAGTGTCATTAGGGAAAATTTAATGCCTCAGTGGATCAAACTGACAACTATACTGTTTCATTTCTCATCTAGTCTCTGCTTCCAAGAATTCTATTTTTTTTGTATCCTTACCTCTGGAGCATTCTGTTCTATATTATTAGCTACTTCAGAGGTTGGGGAAAGTAGATCAGACAGATTTTGCTCCTCTCTATTTCCATATCCAGTGTAAACCACAACACAGGTTTCTCTCCTAAAATCAACTGAAGCAATGGTAGCTGGGTAAATGCAGCCGTCTTCTGACCAAATGGCAGAACATTTGTCACCAACTTTCCACTATAAAAGAAACCAAAGATACATGCACACACGTATTTCTTTTAAAGAGGGTAAACTATAATCTTGTTTAGGTGGGGTGAAGTGGGGCGTGGAGGGGATAGTCTCCAGTTAACTGATCTGGAAGGCAGAATGATACAGTGAAAGAGGCTTGGGGCCAAAAACACATAAATCTGAATTCTAATATAAACAGAATTCTGCCATTTACATAATCATGCCATATATTTGCCATATAATATAAATTCTGCCATTTATATAATCATGGACAAGTTTCTTACTCTCTGAGTCTTGTTTTCCTCATTTGTTAAGTGGATTAATACAATCCACTTCACACATCTGTTATAAAGAACAGAAAGGCAGGAAGGCGCGTCGTGTCCAGCACTCTGGCCCAGCACTCGGCCAGTGCTTATCAAACGTTAGCTCTCTTCCTCCTCGGTAACGGAGAAACTAAAGTGACTCATGAGACACCAAAACATTTAGTTTCCAGGTCTACTCTTTTAAATAGCAGAAATGTCTCTACCCAGAATTTATGGTTCCCGGGTATAAATAGTTTTAAGGCTTTTGAGGAAAAAAAGGAAACCAATCTCTCAGTTTAAGAAGTAAAATACTGCCAATTCAGTTTAAGGCCCTGAGGTACTCCTCCCAAATAGCACTGTCTTCTCTCTGCCCGCCCCCCTTACCGCTGCCAACATAAAGCAAACACTGTCCTGAATTTAGTATTTAGCATTCCCACCTAATTCCTTAGCCTTTTATTGACATGCATGTTCCTGAACAATAGAAAGCCGAATAGCTGTTCTAGAAATTTGATGATTACATGTCAATGGAAAACACTGTACAAATCACTGTAAGTTACAGATATTTTACACCATTTAATAAAGACGGTAACAAGAAATCCTTTGAAGTAAAGTCTCATTGTTTTAAAATAACCTGCTTCAGGGGAGTTGTAGGATTCTTTTTTTGGTTTTTATTCTTCTTCGCAGGTTTTCTTTTAGGTGTGCCTTTTTGTTTATTTGAAGCTTCGGAAATGTCACCATTCTTTAGAGCATGCTATGAAAATATGAATAGAAAGGGACATGTTACAGAGCAATACATAAAAAAAGTCACACTATAACTCAGTCACTATAAGCTGGTCTCAAGGGCCCACCACTTCCGATAGACAGCCTCTACTTCCTCTTCTCCCCACCCCACAGGCTACGGAAACTGCTCTCGAAGGCACTGTCTATCTGATTATCAGCTCCTAAGATCCTTCTAAATCAAGTCTCCTCACTCCCAACCTTTCTGTAACATTAGACTCTGCTGACTACCTTTCTTCTTAATATGTACAACATTCTGGACGATAGCAATATAGGGCCCCAATGCTTTCAGTACTTCTCCAACCGAGTCTTAAACTGGGCATTCCCAACAAGAACTGGCCATCCTTCCTTACCTGCTTACGACCATCTACTCCTATTACTTCAATTATCACCTCTAGGTCAATGGACTTCCAACACTATTACCCAGCTCTGACTTTTCTCCTTAGTTCAAGCCAACATTTCCAATGACTAATTTCATATCTTCACATTTACCTCAAACGCAACACAAATAAAAGTAAACTATCTGTTCCCTAAATCAGTTCTTTTCCTCTACTCAGACTATTTCCCCCTGCAGTATCACCTACCCCACCCCACACCAAGCCCCCTTTCAATCTGCATTTTAGAGAACTCTCTTGGTGACCCTGCCTTAGTGCACCTCTAGTCTAAGTGCATACTGGAAAGCATGTTACTGAAAAAATTTAGAATTCAGCTTCAAGGATGACATACAGGTCAATCTTTACCTCATGCTACAGGAGTGACTACAGGAAGAAGGGGACTCTGTGCTTGGTGTTCTGTAAGTGTATGCTCTGTGCCTGGACTACGATGGCCCATATATGGTGCTCAATAATACTAAATACTTCAGACAGTGGGGAAAGCAATGATGTTGGACAACTGTGCAGACGTCTTGTTTGGGCCACAAAAACAGACTATACTCCCTAAAAGAACTGTATACTCTTACCATCAGGAACACTTGAGTTGATACCCAACTCATAGGATTTGGGGAGGATTAAATGAATTTAGCATATATAAAGCACTTAGAACAGTGCCTAGAACACTGTAAACACTCTACAATTATTAATTATTGCACTACTGCTATTTATAATCATCATCATCTCAATAAAAAGCAATAAATATTTCAATATACAAAAATAATTCAGGCTGTCCTTCAAATCTGAGTTAGAGGACTTCTATAGTTTGATACAATGTAAACATATTAAAAGCAATAAATGTTTAAAATTCTCCTTAAATTGCCTCTGCTAAAGGGATGACATTTACACAGACTACCAACTTCTAAAGGAAGATATCATCTTATTTAACTAACCCATGTCATCTTTTAATTTTCAAAATTAGAACTGAATAATACGCACTTTAGCACTTTACTATAAGTATGTTATCAATTACTTTTTTTCCCAAATAAATAACATGAGGAAGTAAGGAAAAGAGTAAACATTTCACACCTTAAATGAAGCCACAGCTTTATCATAAGCTTTTATCAATGCTGTATCATCCCAAATGTCAGAATCATCACTCTGGAAAGGGTAAACAATAAAAACAATTCATGTTTGGATGAGTTTCATCAAAAACATATGCTAGATAGTACCAAGAACCATCTTAAACCAGACATAACAAAATTAAACTAAAAATGGGTATTCTAAATCCTAAATAAAACCACAGGAAGCCTTCCTCCTTAGAGATGATATGACATTACGCCCAAAGCTAGACATATTGTTCTAAGAGGTATGCCATGAAGTCAACACTCCACAATTTAAGTCCTACCCACTGACAAGAAGTGGATCTGTTCAAAACGTAACCCATGTTTCACTCTTTTCTAAGAGCAGAGGAAGGGTTTAGTCTGCAGAGTCGGAAAGCATCTGGCCATCAGCTTGACTTTATCCAGACCGGTAACTCTGTTCTGACCACGGGCTCAGAAAGCATACATCTTCCTCTTGACCTTACAATGTGCCTAGATTATTCAAAGAAAAATTCTCAAAATGCTTAAGGATACAAATTGTTAATAGGGATTAATCAATTAATTTTCATTTCAAATGGGAGTGATATTAAGTAACTGGGAAAAGATGTAAAAATCATTATGTTATTTTTATTTTTACTTACATTTAATTCAATTCAAATAGAAATGTTTTTGAGCACCCACTATCTACTAAGCACTTATCATTGAGACGTATATGAAATCATACCGCCTGCTCTAAAGACAGATGGTCTAATTAGGAATTTAAGACATACTGCCACACAAAACAAAACAAAAAATATAAAAAAACAGGATCAAACATTAAAATGTGAAGTACAAACAATAAATGTTTTAATTACAGTCATGTGTTGCTTAACGAATAGGGATACGTTCTGAGAAATGCGTCATCAGACAACTTCATTGTGCGAACATCATAGAGTATATTTACACAAACCTAGATGATAGAGCCTACTACACACCCAGGCTATATGGTACTAATCTTATGAGACCACCGTTGTATACGCGGTCCATTGTTGCCTGAAATGTCGTTATGCAGTGCACGACTGTAAAAGGAAAGAAATGATTTTCTCTGGTTCAAGATGGTGATGTAGGAAGAGCTGAACTTACCTTCTCCCACCAACACACCAAATCTACAGCTGCATATGGAACAATTTCATCTGAAAACTAGCTGAGGAACCCCTACTCATCCAGCAAACAAGAAAAAAAGAAAACAACATGGAAGTGGGTAGGAGAAACTGAGACATAGTAACCCACAATCAGGAGGAAATTCAAATCCTGGAGCTTCTCCCTGAGGAGTGAAGGGTTTGAATCCCCCACTACGCATCCTAACTTTTAAGACCTGCACCTGAGAGACAAGCCCCCAAAACCTCTAGCTTTGAAAACCAACAGGGCTCGCATCCACGAGACCCACAACGGAATAGTAAGCTGAGAAACGGCTCTTAAAGGGCTCAGGAGCTTGGACTCACCATCCCCAGGGCCCAGTGCAGAAGCTGACTGAGAGGTGTCTAGACTGTGTATGAAAGAGGTGCATTGGCTTATGTTAGGGCATCAGCATGAGAGGCAAACACCTAATACAACACACACCTAGGGGCCTGCTGGGATACTCTCTGGGGACAGAGGCTAGCAGGCACCATCTTCATGCTGTCTGCCTTGCTCTAGACGGCAGGTGCTATCTCTATGCTCCACCTCTGCCACGCTCCAGAGAGCCAGTATCTCCTGGAAGGCAGCTTCTGCACACATCTGATGCCCCAGTATTTGCGGCTGCCACCCAGAGGACACCCTTTGATCACCTTTCTCTGGAGGCCAGGGGGCTTGCATTCCTGGGTCCCATGGGACTATAACAATCAGAGCGACAGTTCTTGGCAGGCTACCACCCCCAGGGCACATGTGCAGACAGCAGACTGAAACACACGCCCAGTCTTTCGGAGAAAGAGGCGTATTGGCTTGTCCTGGAGCTTGGGCCTCAGGAGCAGGATTCAAGTTTGGCACACATCTAGAAGCCTGTAGTGGTGTTCTTGGGGAATGCAGGCTGGTGGATGCCATCTTTACGCTCTCCCTCTGCCTCACGCTAGCTCACTGGTATCTCCCAGAAAGGAGCTTATATACTTGTCTGGAACCGTGATTTTTGCAACTGCTGCCAGGGGACACCCCCAGATTGCCTGGCTCTGGCAGCCAGTGGGGCTTACACTTGGGGTCCCACAGGACTGTATATGTTTGCATACTTTAAAAGCTGTGGCCTGAGGGTCTGGCTTCCAATCAGCCCGAATCTAGGTGCTGACTGAGATCCTCCCCTTTGGGATACTAACAGGTCTTGGAACACCCTCAACAACCGGGAACCACTAAAAATAAAATAGGCTGCTTGGACAATCAGGAGAGTTTGAGACACAACCAAGAGCTGGGCAGGGTTGAACAATCAAGTTCATCTTCTAGACCCCTAACTGCTTTCCTCGCTTCCCCCTGGGCTCCCCCGCTCAGCCCCAGTCGGAGAGAACGAACAGACCAGAGGAGGACTAAGTTGCGGCAGGGCCTCGGCGCAAAGCCCACAGGACGCCGAAGCTGCGCGGGGAAGGAGCCTGCGGCTGAGGCTCCCACATGGGGAAAGCTGGGGAGACCAGCGGACCACGGCCCCGCAGTGACCCAACTGGCCAGGGCCCGCCGCGGCCACGGAAGGAGCGCGAGGGCCTGGGGGGAGGAAGGCAGCGCCGGCCGCGACCTCACCTGGCCCGTGCCGCGCCGGAACAGCACCGAGTCCTCCTGCTCCGGTCCGCCGCCGCCGCCGCCGCCCATCGCCATGGCGAGCCTGCCCCGGGGTGCCGGGCGCGCGGCGTCCCTCCGAGTGACGACTTCCGCCGCCGGGGCCTCTGGGAGCGGAAGAGGACGGCGGCCGGGAGGGCCCCGCGCGCTCGGGGCGGTCGCGTCTTTGTGCGCGGCTCGCTTTGGTGCTGCTTTTCTGTGTTCTCTCAATTGTTTGATTTCACTTTTTCATATGTTCAGAGAGTGATTCGAGTAGGGTGTGTTGGTTTTAAACAATAAATTTTCTTAAAAACTAGTGTTCATTGCAGATAGTTTAGAAAGTATGGGTAAGCAATACAATAAAAATCAGTGCAGAGGTAACCAATAATAATACAGCTACCATTTTTAAAAGTGCTTTTAAGAGTGTATATATTTATTTGTTTAATTTTCACGACAACCCTATGAATTATGGGCTATTATTCCCATTTTAAAAATGAGGAAACTGAGGCACAGAGCATCTGCACAGCTGCCCGGAGTCCAGGCACCAGAGCTCATGCCTCCAGACACTTCCCAGCCTTAAACATTTAGGTTAATATCCGTTCTCCTAAATCTTTTCTAGTAAACTTTTGAACTTAAAAAAAAAAAAAATGGGATTGAATGTCATATACTGTTTCAGGATGTGCATTTTCCCACGTTTGTCTTTACATGGATCAAGCAGGTTTCTAGTTCTTAGTGGGAGCTCACCGTCTACTTCTCCCGTATTCCTTATTACACGTTTAGGCTTGCCAGATGGCTTTCACATAGTATATATTATAATTTACTAAAAAAAAAGTCCACCCAAATAAGTTTGAGGGCTCCCCTTTGACTTCTATAGATATCAGAAATAGATGTATTTTTTTATTTTATTTTTATTTTATTATTTTTTGTGTGAGGAAGATCAGCCCTGAGCTAACATCCAACGCGAATCCTCCTCTTTTTTGCTGAGGAAGATTGGCCCTGGGCTAACATCCGTGCCCATCTTCCTCTACTTTATATGGGACACTGCCACAGCATGGCCTAACAAGCGGTTTGGCAGTGCGTGCCCAGGATCTGAACCTTTGAACCCCGGGCTGGGGAAGCAGAGCACACGCACTTAACCACTGCGCCACCAGGCTGGCTCCCTTAGATGTATTTTTTCAAAAGCTCACATAGATTTTTCTCAATCATATAAATTCTCAAAATGGCATTTGATACAGAAATTTAAACAGAATTTGGAACCAGGTTTCTTTTTGTTTTTATTTTTTTGATATATAACTTACATACCATAAAATTCATCATTTTAAAGCATACAATTTAGAGAATTGTAGTACATTCAAAAAGTTGTGCAGCCACTACCACTATAAATTCCAGAACATTTTCATCATCCCTAAAAGAAACCTTGTATCCATTAGCAGTCACTCCCCTTCTCTCCTCCCTCCAGCCCCTCACAACCACTAATCTACTTTCTGTCTCTATGGATTTACTTATTCTGGGTATTTCATATAAATGGAATCATATAATATGTGACCTTTTGTGTCTGGCTTTTTTTACTTAGCATAATGTTTTCAAGGAATTAGTTTTAATAAATTTGAAATGGCAGGTTCTTTGTTGAAAAAAGTATTTCTACTTAGGACCTACTTCCTCAAAAATAAACCTATGGCATTTTTGTCCTCAAAGAAAATATGAAGTTCTTTTTCTCCTGATGGTGACATCCAGATTTAAATCACTATACTTTACAAAGCTATTTCATAAGATAGACAAAACACTCAAAGCATAGTGTAGTGAAACTTCCAAAGGAACCATTTCATCAGATTTGAAGGCACTTACATAAACGTTACATTTAACTTCATGAACTGGAACCAATCTTTGTGCCTAAGGAATTTTCATACTAAAAACCTGTCTTCAGTGACTCTTGGAACTTGCACGTGATCAAAGGAAGGATTCAAATGATTAGTAATCAGGTTTCCAATTTGAAAAATATATGTTGGAATCGTCAAGTAGAATAGTGAATAAACAAAAGACAAGGCCAAAACCAATTAGTTCCTTACCCTCACCTGACTTCAGGATCTAGGGTCAAGAGATCAGAGATGTGTCAGTGATTTGTGTACAAGAATGTCTCACTGCACTGAACTGTTACAGCACCAGAAAGTTGAAAATTCCAAATGATGTTTTGGAAGAATATTTGAACGATGTAATGGACAAATGGTAGTATAATTCATAAATGACATAGATATAATCAGCCATCCAGTATGTGAGGTTTGGCCTCTCTACCCTCACATCATATACCAAAATACATTCTAGGTAATTTTTATAAACTTGGGATGGGGGAGATCTTAAGATAGAAACAAGAAACCAATCAAGGATTGAAAACTCAAATACCTTTTGGGGGTCAGGCAGGTAAGGTAAATGAGTTGAGGCGGAGTAAGCAATAGGGTGGTGGGTACTGTAATCAGTTAACTCGAGACTATCCCTCTTCCACTCCACCCACTCCCCACCCAAACAAATGCACTCAACTTCATATTTAAAAATTTTAACATGTCAAGATAAGTCGCTGGCTGTCAGTCTGTGTCCTCACTTATAAAGAAACTAGACATTTGATTATGTAATTAAAAATTCTGGTAAAACCAACATAAATAAAATCAAAGGACAAAAAATAGTTTGGGAAATATTTGTAACATATAAGAAAAGACTAATATTTCTAAGACTAAAATTTTTTTTACAAAAGGTTTGTCAAATAAAAATGAAAACAGCGGGCGCTGGCCCGGTGGCACAAGCGGTTGAGTGCGCACACTCCGCTGCGGCGGCCGTGGGTTCACCGGTTCGGATCCTGGGCGCACACCGACGCACCGCTTGTTAGGCCATGCTGTGGTGGCGTCCCATGTAAAGTGGAGGAAGATGGGCACGGATGTTAGCCCAGGGCCTGTCTTCCTCAGCAAAAAGAGGAGGATTGGCAGATGTTAGCTCAGGGCCGATCTTCCTCACAAAAAAAAAAAATGAAAACAGCAAAACAGGCAAAGGTGAGAACACGCTATTCATAGAAGAAAAACTCAAAGGTGGCCAATAAGTATGAAAATGTGCCTAACCTCTGGAAGCTCTGCACTCAGTCTGCCTGGGTTCATATCCTTAAGCTGCCACGTACTAGCTGGGTGACCTTGGGGAAATTCCTTAACCAAAATCTCAATTTCTTCATCTATAAAAATGGACATACTAGTACCTACATGTGAAGACTAAATGCAATAAAAAGCACAAAGCAGAGAGAAAACATGGGCAGTTCCCAAAAAGGAAAATCCAAATGTCCAATAAACATATGAAAAGATGCTCAACCTCTACAGTCAAGGAACTGTAAGTTAAAAAGTAAGATACCATTTTTCACTCAGGTTGGCAAAAGTATTAGAAGTTAATATCTGATATTATCAAGGGCATGGGGATATGAAGTGCTATCCTTTTGTGGAAAATACCTGTTTAAAATTACAAACATGTTGGGGGCCGACCCTGTGGCATAGCAGTTAAGTACTTGTGCTCCACTGCTGGTGACCTGGGGTTCGGATCCCGGGTGCGTGCCAAGGCACCACTTCTCAGGCTATGCTGTGGTAGCGTCCCATATAAAGTGGAGGAAGATGGGCTCATAAAGAATCTTTATAGTACAATCAGACTTCTTCATTACTCCTTTTTATTAGAATGTTAACTTAAGCTGTTGTAATCCTTTTGCCCTTGTGACTACCATCATATAAAGTTTTGAAAACTGAAGTTAACCCAAGAAATAGAACAAAGCTTTACTTTGACTGAAAATCTGTGCTAATATGAAGATAAAAACTCAGGCTATTAAACTTCATGTTTGCCTCATTTAGGATCAGAGACACTTAGGATTCCATCCTATTGACAGGTGGTACCCTTGGTAAGTGACCTATCACAAGATTGCCAGAACCTTCACTAAGATATTTGGTGATCTGTCCATTCACATAGCGGTAGACATATTAGATCAGCAAAAATTTGTTGAATTGTATGATGTGAAAAATCAAGTATTTGAATAACACTTTAAAGTTATGTTCTTTATTACTTCAATGGTATTTTTATTCTCTTTACAATAATGATGCATATTTACTTCAGAACAGAACAAGGTCTCAAGCTTTAGTTTCTCTTGGTTAACGTATAACCATTGTTAAGTCACAAGTTTTTGAAGTCTCAGAACACACTAAACACTGGCACTCTGCCAGCACACAGAGTGAATCCTAACATCACATCTGCGTTGTGGGTGACGACGACGTGCCAGTGCAGGTTCATCAGTTACAAAAACACACCACTCTGGTGGGGATGTTCATAACGCGGGAGGCTGTGCATGAGAGGGGCAGGGGGCATATGGAACATCTCAGTTTTGTTGTGGACCTAATTCTACTCTAAAAAATAAAGTCTGTTAAAAAAAAAGCACTTATTCCAAAAAATTTTAAAGCTGTGAGTAGAAGTCTTCCTGAGACCTCATTTAGTTTTACATTCACTTAGTTGCTGTTCCAGGTGGTTTGTACTGTCTGTTGTCAATTCTTCAAGCAAACCAGTTGATTATAAAGTAAAATTAGATAAATGTATCGTAAATTCCATTATCCAATACAGTTGACTTTAAAGATCTACTTTAACAAGGTTTAAGATAAAGATTCTGGATTTATATAAGGGATCGTATTATGTGATCACATTATCTCTCGAAAACATTATATAATGCTCACTGCTGATAAACAATGTTCATCCATATGTAACATGTATGGTTGGTGTTTTATTCTTTGAAGAATGGTTCTGAAAGATTACACTAAGTCAGGCTGAAAGGTAAAATTTAAAATAGTCTTATAAGGATATGTTATAACATATGTAATGACTGTTCACTCTACAAAATCTTGATCATAGAGCTATGACACACCTAGCTGGCAGTAGCACCCAGGTTTTCCAAATAGTCATCATTTTTCTCTTGTCTGCATAGACTTCTGCTCATTAGCTGCCTTCTGCTTTGGTTGCATGATCCCGGAGTCCCTATATTGGAAGAAAAGGCTCTAAGTTCTTACAGAAAAACTGATTTTATGTTCTCACTTGTTTTCTA